ACAATGAATCGTGAGAAAGAGAAAATTATACCAATTACAAAGTCTGATGATAAGAGGCAAATTACGGCAGTCTTGGCAATTTCAATCACTGGAGAACATCTTCCCCCTCAAATAATATATGAAGGAAAGACCACTCCATGTCACCCTAATGTTACATTTCCGAAAGACTGGGATGTGTGGCATAGTCCAAATCACTGGTCAAATGAAATCACAATGAAACGTTACATAGAGAAGGTAATTGTCCCATTTGTGTCTCAAAAAAGAGAATCACTGAAGCTACAAAATGATTGCCCTGCATTGGCCATTTTTGATTCATTTAAGGGACAAACTACACTGGGTATCTTTTCATTACTGGAAAGTAACAACATTATCCCTATAAAAGTACCTGCAAATTGTACAGACAAATTGCAGCCGCTGGATGTGTCCATTAACAAACCATTTGTGACCATAATTGACAAAAGGGCCCTTATGGCGGATTTTAAAATTGATCATTATAATGGAAAATATCAACCTGTGAGTGCTTTGTTAGACAATCATTGTTTCTAAAAGTTTCATGGTAACTTTTTGCATCCTGTGGAGTAATTTTATGATAAATGGGGCTCAGGAAGTTGGATTTCTTAGGCTAGAAAGACAAATTTCACTACCCGCCATAAGGTACCTTTTGTCAATTATGGTCACATTTAAGGATGAAATGAAGAAACACTTTCAGGGATGGTATGCCACTGAAGTTCAAAAGCAAATGCAGAACAATGTAGCTGTCAGTGATTTAAAAGTAGAAATGCCAACATCCCTTTTAAAAAATGCAAGTGCCAACTGGATAATATCCACCTGGAGTTCTTTACAGCAAAGGCCACAAATAGCCATTAATGGATTTCGTAAAAGCGGTATTTTAAGTGCTGTCACTTCTGCTATTGAATAATGAACAAATAATTATTATTGAAAATAACATGATTATTGTAATACATAGTACATTAAATTTTATCACTAGTAATAATCTTGATTTGTCTAATAATATAGAATAATTTTTATGAAATAATGATAATGATAATTAATATTAAGGAAAAGGTCGCATCTGCATTGCCTCAAAGCAATTAATTAAATAGCGTCTCATAGCACTTTGTGTAAATTGTAAGTCAGTTGTGTTCAATTTGTATGCTATTGCAGTACAAATGGCTATAGCAAATAAGCCACAGTCAGTATAGCCTTCATGTTACTGAACATCCTCCTTTATTATGTTGCAGGTGGAATTTCCAAACATATATAATATAAGCTCACGAGTATCTTTCTCCAAATCCAAATACAATGTGTCATAAACCGATATCTTAGTGGTAGATTCAATAGTAGACACTACTATCCAATGATTTCCTCTTGTATGAATCATTTGTATTGCAGGCTCTGTAAACGGTTTGAAGCATCTTTTTGAAAAGTTCAGAGTACACAAAAGGCCACCAATATTACTATTCTGCATCTTTATAAGTCTTTGTGCAAAATTTATATGTTTGTCACTTAAAAATTTTCCTCCCACAATAATTTGATGATCTTCTTTTAAAACGTTGGGGATCAAGTCCAAGTGACAACCAAATATCATCCGACTCAAACGAGTTATCATCTTCAACAGGAATAACTTGTTTTTCAGGAATATCCTTTACTTCAGCTCAGGAAATTTTAGGGCAAGTAGTGTCATTATCACAGCTCGTCAAGTCTAACTTGATGTTCAATAATTTTTTAATTTTTTAAATAAATCGACTTTCTCCTTCAAATTTTAAGGAACTAGGTACCTCCAATCCTCCTTGTGGTAGATCCTTGGATTATTGCCTTTTTCCAGTTACTGAACACGAAATAGTCCCTCCTTTTTTAATGAAAAGAGTGCAGAGTGCTGATATTTTTTGTGGCACATGGCCTATGACCTGTTCCTTTTGGCGAGTCATGATGGCATATCTATCATGTACATTATCTGTCTCCAATTCACAAAGGAAAGTCTCACCAACAATGGGAGACCAGAAGTCCTTCGATATATGGTGTCCGCGTACACAACTTGTTACAGTCAAAATCTCCATTCGATTGCATGCATTAGCACGTGTAACCACACCCACTTGCATAAAACCCCACCCAAGGGTAGGGATATAATTAAATTGTTAAGAAATTGCCAATATTAAATCCGCCAATAAGCTAGTCATCACAAAACTGCCAAAAAAAACTCCCGCCAACAAATCATCTTATACGGTAAGTCGTTGCATCTTACACAGAATGAAACACTTATTCATGAGCCTGTTGGCACTGGTACATGTACATTGTACAATTTCAATGGTTCAATTTTTCGGATTTGGTTGTCTGCCATGATCTTACCTCATACTGCAAAAGGAAGGACTGACTTTTTGCTTGCTAGAGGGTTTAATTTTCTATTGATGCATGCAATTATTTATTTTTTATTTTTATTTTATTTTATTTTACTTAGTTTTCTAGCTTAGTTGAATAAAATACCTTATTAGACTTCGTACTGTCCATTTTTCTGCTTCAGTAATTCCGTTTGTGTCTCTTCTTTTCTGTATGTGTCATAATAAGGGCTATTTTATAACCCTTATTATGACTAAAGGGTTATTTTATAAGAGATTCCCAAAATTGTCCTAAACTTATGATTTTGTTATTGATTACATGTACAAGTCAGTATTGTGCTAAGCAAGCTCTAACTACATGTACCTTAATGTCAAAGATCAATTACTTTTTATTTTTTATATATAGCAGGGTTTTATACAGTAGAAAGGGGCCCCTGTACTTTAAGTTCCCCCATTTAATAAAAGGGTTTATATTTGTCTTAATTCACTGTTGTTTACCAATTGGAACTAGCAAAGCAATTGTGTGCATAACAGCCAGCTTATGCCTGTACTAGTAAAATAAGCTTTTGCCGCTATCTCAAAATAAATTGCTTAACAACATGCAATGTTATTGTTAATTTTCATCATGTCCCCTATAAAGATATCCGACATAAATCCCTGCAAAATGGGACCATTATAAAAATTGAATATGCAAACATCTGTGGTATTTATGCACTGAGTCTGAAGTTATAAAACCATTTAATATTATTGCAGTGAGAAGCGTTATTTAAATGATAAAATTATATTCATCATGGTTGATACTAAGCTTTTGCAGGGAATCCTTATGGATGTTGAGCCACTAAGATTCAAGCCTATGACTTTGGAATCAAACTTACTTAATCACAAGTAAAATTGTCATCGTCCTTGCATAAAATTTTACCCCTTAAAGTGTAAACAGTATTGGTTGTTCTTATTTGTAGGCAATTTTCCAAGGCTCACTTATTGTGGCTACTTTTGTATCATGTACAGGTACTCAAATTCTATTTATGTCACTACTAATTAATTTTAATAGGATCCTATGAATTTTGGTGCTATCATACGTAGTGCATATTTTTTTGGGGTTGATCGAATTCTAGTTACTAACAAAAGGTTCTTAATATCATTGGATGAGACCTTTATCAAGTAACATGTTTATCAAAATTAGTAGTTGCCCTTTGTCTCCAGTTGTGAGCAAATCTAGTGCAGGAGCAATGGAAATGCTCTCCATTCATTCAATTTCAGATGTTATTTCTTTACTGAAGGTAAATGTAAGAGAACTATTGTGAAATATTTTGTGTTCCAGATGCCGTATTTAATAATGCATTTACTATTTTTGCTTTGTGCAAAATATAAACTGCATAAACTATTAAAATTCAAGATGTCATTTTTCTAAAAATTTATACTTTGGATTTCATTTAAAAGTGTTTTTTTTCATGATAAAGAGTGACGTACATGTAACATTAAATATGTATTTAATTGTGTGCATGCATGTAAATTTTTTATTTGTAAGTTCTTATGGCATCTACTTATAGGTTGCAGCTGATAAAGGCTGGGATATTCTAGGTACAGTCAGTCCAAATAAATTTGAACATTTCTCTGTAATATCAGCATCAGATCACAAAGTCATTAGACCAACTATGTTGATAGTAGGTAAGCATCTCAAAGTCCGTTGTACACACATTGAAATCAGTATGTATAGTAGCCATAATATCGCTTTTGATTGACATTTATGATTTATATATTATTCATTGAGATATCTTAAATAAGAATTTTTCACTATTTTCAATGGAGTCTGCCATTTTTTGATAGAGCAAGCCCAAAAGTAAAAACTACAACTTTCATCTTTTTTTCATAGCACTGCAAGTATTAGGAGTCACTTGACGTGGAGAAGTAGAATTGACAGTTTTTAGTCTGTGGGTCCATTGTAGGTATACCTCCACAATCGTGGTATGACAAAATTTTACGTTTAAGGTATCCTAATAAAAATCATTATAAATCATAAACGTCATTCACTGGAAAGGAAAATTCAATTTTTGGGTGTTTAATTTGGTGATTGGTAGTTCCATCAGCCAATGCCTTTGTGTTTCATTTTGACTCCAAGCATCCTCAGAAATGTTGTAGAAAAAAATCCTACATAATGCTTTTAATAATGTTAATTTTGAGCTAAATTAACTTACTTAAAATTTGTCACTGCTATGAAAATTATTTTAATTTTGCATGTAGGAAATGAAGGTCATGGTTTAACTAAAGAAGTTTGCTCGTGTTGTACAAAACTACTAACCATTAATCCCAAAAGGTCATTGTCTCCTGGTTTTGATTCATTAAATGTTTCAGTGGCAACAGGAATTTTACTTAACACTTTATATAACAATAAAATATAATTATTATACATTCATTCACTAATAATTGTAATAACAGGTATAAAAAGTAATAACGAACATGACAGTCTGTTAAAATGAATTTTTATAGAAGCAGTATAACATTATAATTTTGGCTGAAATGTGGTATCAGGCTCTTCTCTTTTATTAAAATCTGCTGTCATTGGCTTAACACTGTAGAGCACTAGATCTTTGAACCCTTTTCTGTAGTGAGGAGTAAAGGTAGGTGACATAGAACATCCATGGTCTCTAGAAGAAAGAAAACTCTGTGCTATGAGTCTGTTAATTTCAAGAGTATCAGGGTCTGCAATATATTCTTCTAGCTAAAAATTATGATAATTATGATTGAATTTTTTTGATATAGCAAACCTTAATCCACTTGTATTCAGATATTTCACTACGATCAATGACAACATCAATAGTCAGTGGCTTTAGTAGACAAATAAAGAAGAAATCACTGTTTCCCCATCGAAACTGATGCATATGCCGAAAACAAAGAAGAGACACAAACTCTGTTTCTATTCCTGTTTCCTCCTTTACTTCACGTATAGCAGTCTCAGCAATATTTTCACCTGCAGTTGAATTTTAATTGCATATACATGTATGTTGACATTGCCAAGAATACCTGGATCAGCCATTCCCCCTGGTATTTTCCATATAGGTCTCTTAAGAGAAGTTAAGTACTTCTCCTGAATGACTAGGAGGTCATTTTTGTCATTTAGTACAAAACCACCAACACCTAACACCACACAAATAAAAATAATTAATATGTTCAAAAAGTTATAGTCACAGCATTACCAACATAATGATTGGCATAATGCGGGAGCTTGTTTGGTTCATCTTTTGGAAGCCATTTTGTGAGCATAGCATATCCAGGTTGAGCATGATGAAAATCAAAACCTAACTTTAAGAAATATTGAGAAATGTGAAGTAAGTGAACTAGGGCATGGTAAATAGACCTCCTTTGGTGAGAATGATAAAGCCTGTGAACAAATTTGTGATAACCACCTTCATATTTGGCTACATTTTGGACAGCATAGATTACATGTAGATGAAGAACAAGAGAAACTGTTTTTACTGGCACGGAACTTTTTCAAAGCTTGTTAGGGAAAAATTGTAATCATCTTTAAAACAATGTGCAGCAGATTTTCTATTGCAGCTTGCTTTTCACTTTGCCTCATTTACATAAACACTATAATGTTGTTTCAGTTAATTTTAGCTAGTTATGTTTCAATAAAAATACTTATAGTAATAGTATGCTCATTATGTAATACTTTTAGTTAGTTATAGTTAGTTTTAAAAATTCAAAATATTTTGAGCTAGTTACATGTTTACACGTGGTTAGTTTAAGAAAGATTAAGTACTAAAAGTACATCCAGCCTAAAGGCGGATTTACAATATTACGCTAGTCCTGACGTTACGTTGACGCTGGAATAGAATCTGGTTCTATTCCAGCGGAAAGCATGCGTCAAAAGGTCAAATCGCCTACGCTTTTGATTAAAAATTGACGGTACGCTGGCCTAATGTCATATTGTAAATCCGCCTTAACTAAAAGTATTTTTAGTTACTGAGTGAAGCCCATATGCACAAGACTCAGTTACTTAAGGAGGTTGATACCAGAAGTTTTTGATCAATACTGATACCAATTAGTGTGAGTATCAGTATCATAATACAGTAGATTAGCCATGCCCTATAAAGTCATTTTTCAATATTTTCACTGAAAGTCAGAGGTTAAAATGGCGATTGGCAACAATACAAACACAGTTAAAATTAGTTACAAAAAAGTCATGACTTTTCTAGCACTAAGGCAAAGATTCTGCTTTTCCAGCAGCTACAGAATCTAGGAGGCAGAGAGCCCCTTAATGTTTTACATTTTTCTAGTAGTTAACTAAAGCAACACTATAAAACACAAAGTATACTTGTTGCCTGAAGTCTTCCTTCTTTCTTAGGATGACTAGTGCCATTTTTAGATATAAGTGCTTCACTATGCCCTAATTATTGATTACACTAGCTGCACCTGCACTACTTGAATATGTCATAGAAAATTTCATCATTACTAAACTGCTAAATTCAAGTTTTAAACCTTGTAAATTTCTTGTAAGTTTTGTGCTAAAATACATGCATAATCATTTATTGATGTAATTCATTCTCACCTAAGGAGTCTGATGATAAAAGTTATGCCATGAGACTGAGTATCTATAAATCATAACAATTACAGCACACATTTATAAGTACCTTAGTTGCAATGGGAATCATTTCTGCCTTTTCAGTTGGTACCTGCATCCAAATACCTCTTCTCCCTTCTAGTTCCCATGTTCTTAATGAAGCTATAAGTTTTTCCTTAAAGGATTCAGCATCACCAATGTCATTAAAATGATGTGTCTTTACTGTAACACCATTAAAACTACATGTACGTGATAAATGGGACATCGTCATAATAGTCACATATCAGAAGCTAATAATAACTCACACGTCTATATCTCCCTGCAAACCTCCTTCAGTTTTTGTTGGAACCCCTACAACTAGCCTCTGTATCTCTTTTTGGTCAAATCTTTCAGTCGCCATTTTAATCTTGGATATGATTCAGATTTATCACTAGTGAGGCGTGGTCCAATGGAGACCACGCCTGCTAGATTTAAGTACCAGACTAGTGACTACTGAGCTAGGTATTGTATTCTTTTTTTTGATAAACCCATGCTCCCATCTACCATAGTATGCGACTGGAGGGTAGATGCTTGGACAAAAGTGGCTCTGGGTAAGAAATGACTGTAGTATTTTACTGTACTTTATCCCTATTAGAAATGTGAGTCTTATTCCAGAAGAAGATGAGGATATGTGGCATGTATATAATCTAGTAACTGTGGGTGATAAACTTAAATCAACCACCATCAGGTACATGTACATATTGTAATAGATAATAGTTGTAAGTATCATTGTTTGTGTAGGTGGCTGGGCTCATGATTGAGCAAAGCACCATATGGGTAGTCTTACGTAGCCAGACCTACTTGGCCTGTGTGTGTCTTAGATGGAGGCACAGAGAGAGGGTCTGGCTATGCAATACTATCGTGTGGGTAGAAAATTTTGAGGGCATAAAATGTTCTGTTTTTGTGAGATGGTCTTAATTGTTTAATTTCCAGGGAATTAAGTTTCGCATTTTAGCATGTGCACATCAGGCCTGGGGTAATATGTAATAGTAATAGTAATGGTAATAGTAATTATTAAAAATTTTCATGTAATAGTAATAGTAATAACAATTTCAATTTTAGAAGTAATAGTAATAGTAGTAGGGCCTAAGTAATATTGTTAGAGGACACTATAGATGATCTTTCACAATAAGCAATACCAATAATGTCTATTTGATAAAGCTAGAAATATATTTCGACCAGATCGTTGTTTATTGTCTGATAGTGTGTTTGAAAAACTAATTTCTATTAAATGCTATCAAAATAATGTTTTAAAATATTTTTTGATATGCTGTAAAACAACAAGAGGTACATGTAATAGTATTAGTACTAGTAATACTATTATTTGTCATTTTCCCTGTAATAGTAATAGTAAGAGTAATATGAAGTGTCGAGGTGTAATAGTAATAGTAATAGATTACAATTAAGAGTAATGGACCTCAGGCCTGGTGCACATGCATTAAGTATACTTGCTATGCATGCACATTGAGTATTTATATGCATGTAGTATTGATTTAGACCCACGAAATCTGCAAGATTGAAATATCTCACGGAATTTTATACCTTTATGGTATGTATGGTATGTAAAATTGTAAATGCCCAGTTTTTTAAGAGTATTTTGGCAAAACAATAACAATTATATTGAGTGCTATACCATTGAGTAGGTGCAATCATTCTTGTCTTGTATGGTAGTATCTTGCTTAGCCTTATGGCCATTATACTGTACATGTACCCATTAATTTTTGTTTTTGTTGTTCATTAAGTTCCCATACCATGGAAGTGCATTATTGAGCTTCATCCAAAAGTTGATTTTTATTATTCTACAAAAATTTTGCTTCTCATTGTACATTATACCATTTTTGTGTTATACCTTCCAACAGCCAGGAAACTTAACAGCTAGTTTATGTTATTATTGAATTATTTAAATTTATAGTTTTTGTAAATGCACCATAAACTAGGAGTAATGTAGAACATTAAGGGGTGAGCCTAAGTAAGCCATTTGTGGATATGCTTTATGATCTTGATTTATGACCAAGCTAAGCAATACAGTAGGCAATCTAAGCTTACAGCCTCATTGTTGTTCAAAAATTTGGAATTTTTTCCATCACTGATATCCTTGCTGAGACCCTCTGCAGGAATTAAAGTTACCTTGCTTTAAACATAAAGAATAGTTAGAAGCAGTCACTGAACAAATTATATACTAAAGATTGTACATATGCTTTCCTTGCTGCTAGAGCCTACAGAAATATGCAGCGATACTGCACCAGGATGCACAGCAGAAATTAGCAGGTTTGTCACTGTTTGTCATTGCATTCAACTTATCAGAGTCCTTGTATGTCTGCTTTCCCAACCTTCTTTGCTGCTAGAGAAGTGTTTGGACGGCAGTTTAGTCTTATCTTGCTGACATTTTACTGCAAATAAGCTCAGACTTGCTGATAGCCACATTTTATTTCATTGTGACCACACCCACTTACAATGGAAATTTATGCTATTTAGCTTTAATAATAGTTATATTACCCTATCATCTGAATCTCCGTACAGACAAATGCTTTCTAACCTTAGTGGGACTCGCTCAGGTTCGCCACAATCAAAAGACTATTGTTTTTCCATCTGGTTCTGTCTTGGACTATGTTTTTTGTCATCAAATAGGACATAATACATATTTAAATTTAGATCAGATGCCTTAAGCCCGAACTATTAAACCTTAATTTTAGGTTACAAAAGACATAATCACTTTTTGAACTGAAAGCTACGGTACATGTACACGTACATGTAGCTCAGTTCTACTTAATGTTAATGAGTATTGCACTTTAAGTGAGTATACCACAACTGAATAAGAACAAGGTTCAAACATTTATTTTCTATACGTTGTCTTTATACTGTTATTCTTTTATTATTGACTTCAATTTTAGGAAAGTTACTAGTGAGTCATCTACTGGTTCTAGTACATCAGAACGTGTTCGTACAACTCTTACTATATCTGTTGAGAGCATAGAATATGATACAATTGCTTGTCAAATTCGGTTTAAAGGACGTAATGTTCAAGAGAATCCATTTGTCAAAATGGGTGCTTATCATACAATTGATCTTCAATTAAATCAAAAGTTTTCACTGTCGAAAGAGAAATGGGACAGTGTTGCATTGGATCGATTAGGTGTTCTTATTATTTTATGAATGAAAGAATTACAGTTGTACATGTGTTTATAGATGTAGCTTGTGATCCAAGCAGAACAGCTGATATAGCGGCACTTATAATGCAAGAAGGTGAATTTTAGTTTCTTAAAATTGAAACTTTTGCCTTTTTAGGTTTAGCTCAGCTATGTATTGTGACTTCTGCTATGACAATAACAAGAGCGAGAATAGAACAGCAAATACCACGCAAGAGAAGAGGGTCCTGTACCAATCATGATAAAGTTTGTGTGCATAATTTCCAATTATCAGCATTTCATTATTGTTAGGCATTGGAAAGGTTCTACGGCACAGTATTACAAGCAGTTCTAAGACACATTAGGTTTGATGGTAAGTTTACTCTTGCCCATTTGTTTGCTGTATAGTGCAGAATTTTTTAGGGTTTCATATAAATTTAGCTACATTGCCCAATTTACTGTATTTGGAGGTTTTTTGTGAATGTATGTGCATACACTGTCTGTCATTTTGTTTATTGTAATAAACTGATCTTCACAGATTTGGAGAATTATTAAAATCTGTGAAATTTACAGCCCTCAAAGATTTTGCATTGTACAGTACAGTGGTGTATTACTATTTTTGTATTATAGTTGTAAAATGTATTTTAATTGCGAGCCCTGGATTTGTGAAGGACCAATTTCTGGAATACTTGTTAGCTGAAGCTATCAAACAAGATATCAAAGTATTACTGGAAAATAAATCTAAATTTCTGCTTGTAAGTAGTTAATTTACATGTACATGTGCATGATTATAGTTACCCTTACCTGCAAAATTCATGTTGTTAGGTTTTGTGTACATCATGTGGAATAGTTAAATTGTACATGTACTTGTGAGTATGTGTTATGCTTGTCTTTAGATAAGTGGTAGTGTCAATGGAAAAGTTGCTTTTAATTTACATTCATACTTCTATTGTTGATGAATTTTTGAAGCCAAATTTGTTCTGGACCTTGGAGAATATCTTCATTTCTTTCTGAACTGCCATAAAGTGGTCACAACAATACCATTATGCTTTCCAATCAACAGCATGCACAAATTTTGCAATGCTGTTGTATTGGTCCTTTTTTATGTCCAAATGCACTTAATTTTTAAGGGGATTCCCGCATATCTTGGCTTAAATTGTTACTAGATGTATTTTTGATGCTCCTTCCTAAACAATTCTTTCAACTAGATTCAAGGTGGCTGTTAGAATAAGATTAATAAACTCATTGCTATTTCAGCTTCATATAGCTTTGTAAGATTTATTTAGCAGCATACACGTACATGTAGTTGGTCATACGTTTACTCGTTTAGACATCCATACTTTCATCTAAAAGATTGCTTGGAATAAACTCGAATTTTCATGTACATGTACATGTATGAGTTTGAGATTAAGGAAACTTGTTTGGAAAATGCACAAACTATATTTACATGTATATGTGTATATATTCATGTAATTATAATCCAGCTACATCATGGTAACTATAGGTTTCATTTACAAATAGCATTTTGCAGCTACCTTTTTGCTGCATTGTAAGGCTTTGCCAATTTTTTAAAATTAAATTCCTTGAAAATCAATTCAAGATGGCAAAATAATTAAACTATGCAAAGATTATTTTGTGAACCTCCAGGTAAAGGTCATTTGCAAAAACTATTTCCTTGTATTTTACTATGTACATGTACCTATTAATTAAGCACTTCCTGGAGCATTTTATAACTGTTTCTATCCAAACAATGCACCACCTAAGACATAATATTTATTTATGTTAAATTTGTGTCATCCACATGTAGGTTCACTCTTCTTCTGGACACAAACAGTCTCTCAAAGAAATATTAGCTGACCCTGCAGTGGCTGTTAAATTAGCAGATACCAAAGCAGCTAATGAAGTAAAGGCATTGGATTCTTTCTATGTGATGCTTCAGAATGAACCGAATAGAGCTTTTTATGGGTATAAATCTCTAGCAAATGATATAATTAATTTTGTTTTAAGGTTTAAAGATGTAGAAAGAGCTAATGAATCTAATGCCATAGAAATGCTATTGATAACTGATGAACTTTTTAGGTACAGTAACAATCATCACAGTAACTATATTGATATGTACACGTAGATCGTCAGATGTTGCTTTAAGACAAAGATATGTTGCCCTTGTTGATAGTGTAAAAGACACTGGTGGCTCAGTTCGGTAAAATATTTATAATGAATTTTCATTTTATTCATTTACACATGTGTACATGTATAGAATATTCTCTAGTTTACATGTTTCTGGAGAACGTAAGTGATGAGTTATTAATGTTATGATCATTAAAAATGTCTAGAATTAGGACTTTTAACTGGTATAGCTGCAATTTTGAGATTTCCTTTGCCAGAACGGAATGAAGACTCTTCAGATGACAGTGACAGTAATTAAATTTACGATAATTATTTATTTTATCAGCATAATAATAATAATAATAATTATATTAGATATGCTTTGAGCCTCTGACCTACACATAGCTGTCACTACTAAGCTATTTTTCATAGAAATTAGCTGTGCTTTTAACTAAATTTGTCAGTATTGCAAACATGAACCTAAATAGTAAGTCTATCGACCTACATTTGTATTCTGGCTGGTTGTAGAGATTATTGAGCACATGCATGTACCATTGAAATAATTTTACATAGCAATTTGACATAACTTTATTTAAGGTATAGGACTCTAGGATAATGATGGCTCTTTAATATGGGCATCATGTACCATTGAAATAATTTTACATAGCAATTTGACATAACTTTATTTAAGGTATAGGACTCTAGGATAATGATGGCTCTTTAATATGGGCATCAAGTTCTTTGAAGATACTCTGTCTCTAATTGTGGTTTTATTTGTTGGCTTCGTTATCTTTGTAAAGTTTATCATCATCATCATCATTATTGTTACATAAACTGCTACATGAGTCATACAGTACATTAATTTTAATTTAATTGTGATATAGATTATAGTTAGTTACAAGGCACAAAATGTAATGTCAACGATACAAATAATCCGCTTGAATATTAGCTGCTATCTCCTTTTCCCACTTGTCACCATTCATTAACAACTTTTCTTTATTGTACAAAAGTTCTTCATGAGTTTCAGTTGAAAACTCAAAATTAGGTCCCTAGTAGAATAAGATTTGTCATAAGTTATTAATTGACACTGGAAATAATATAGCATAGCAGGTACAGTAGGTATAGCACACTAACTGACTTTTAAAGTGAACAACCAACAATCAAACTAAAAGTGGGACACTTCAGGTAACCTACATGTACATGTATGTAACCAAAAGCTGAAATGGTAAGTTTCAGGAGACAAACCAAATTTGGGAGACTAAAATTATCATTAATGCCCTATAGCTAACTTTTTTAGCTACTGCCATAGAAATTTGTAATACTAGCACATTAGCAAAACAATAGAAAATCAAAAAATGATTCACCTCAACAATAGCATCAACAGGACAGGCTTCTTGACAAAATCCACAATAAATACATTTTGTCATGTCAATATCATAACGTGTTGTACGTCTACTGCCATCAGCTCTTGTTTCTGCTTCAATGGTAATAGCCTAAAAAGCAAATCAAATAATAAATTTCACTAACCAGACAAAATATGTATCACATTAAAAAAATAAGCATGCTCATCAGTAATGAGGACTCACCTGAGCTGGGCAAATTGCTTCACATAGTTTACAGGCAATGCATCTTTCCTCTCCATTGGGATAACGTCTCAGAGCATGCTCTCCTCTAAAGCGAGGGCTAAGAGGACCTTTCTCATATGGATAATTAATTGTAACTGGCTCTCGAAAAAAAGCACTAAATGTAGTGGCCATTCCTGCAATAAAAATGTTTAGCTTGACTACAGTTACTGCCAATGCAAATAAAATTATTTTACAATAACAATACGGTGTAGCAGTGTAGATTGGCAAAAGGAAAGAATTGGTGATTTTGTAAGAAAAATAATAAAAAATAAATTTTGCAAGAAAATAATGTTTTCTCATTCAGCTACATGTACATGTATATGATAACTAAAATTAACACTAATATTGTTAAATTTCTTAAAGGACTATTTCTAAATCATCACTCGAGTAATCACTCATGGTTTTATTTTATCAGCATTTGACATTGGCCTAGATTAAAATACTCATGCATTCCCCTCATTTTCTCCCTATCTACTAATCAAGTACATGTATGCTTTATGACACAATTTACTAGTAGGCATACCCCTTCACTACCACAGGTAGGGAAGTGAGACTAGCAAGACCCTATGCAGTATGCACACAACTATACTATACAGTTTTATCAATCAACTAAATGCTTATTTCGTCAATAATTTGAAGCCAAGATTACACATAATTATATAAAAATACCTCTAAAGATCTCAGTCAAGAACAATGTAGTAGCATTTCTGTCCATAACAGCTTTCGCATCAGAAGGAGTGTCAGCAGGCTCAAGACTCACATACTCTATCAAAAACCAAATAGTGATAGAACGGTCGCTAGTAGATTTTCTCACTCACTGTACTTAGAGAAATTCCTCAAATTAGACTTGCTCCACCTTTGAAGCACTATCAAAAATGTAAAAAACAACCAAGAGCAATAAACTTACTTCTATGTGTCAACAATCTAGACGCCATTTTTTACAAAACACGCCCAAGTGGGGGTGTAACCTGCTTCTGATTTTTAATGAATTCAATTAAAGCAAAATGGAAGCTAAGGAAGACTTGAAGGAAAAACTAACTGAAAGCTCGCCCTTGATCTACTCATCTGATACTACTAAATTGAAGGGAAATGTAACTAACAGTAAAGCTAAATCATGTGGAAATTTGGTCACATTCTCTGCGCTGTGGATAACATACTTAGTTGTGAGTGTGGCATACTCTATCTTAGCCCCATTCTATCCACAAGAGGTTTGTTTTTTTTAAGATTATTTTTTTGTGATATTATGTTTGTTGTTAGTCTCACCATTCCCCTTCACTACCTAGGATTTGGGACAACTTGACTTAGTATTGCAAGCTAGACCATTCCCCAGCCTACAGTGATTTAGTCTTGCTGCCTCAGACCCTCCGCCTACAGTCATTGTCCCACCGTCCATCCCAATGACTGAAGGCGGAGGGTCTGGGCAATGAGACTAACAGTCATTTGGGTGGACAGTGGGAAGGGTCACTACATTAAACATTGTACCAGAACCTTCCCCGCTGTCCACCCCAATGGCTGGGAAATAGTCTGGCTTGCGAGATTAGTTTTGCTTCACATCCCTAATCACCAATCAGATTGTTTGAACCTTATGTAAGATGCTCAAGTCATGGAACTAAGTAGTACTGGCCACTGGGTACGCTACCTCAAAACCAGACAATTTTGATCTTAGACACCTTTAAGGGATTAGGCTTTTGGGTTTAATTTTTGGTTGGAATAAAGATAAAATTGAGAAATGAATAAAAGATTAAAAATAAAGGAGCCTCTGTACCTTGCTAGGCTTCTCTTTTAAGGTTTAAAAGAAGTATTGCTTTGCTATGTACTGTTCCCCTGTTTGTACCTACATGTAGTTTCAAATAGCCAGACCCATCCCCCTTTTTGATATTTTGACGGCAAATGTCAAAAAAGGAGATGGGTCTGGTGGCTACGCGAGCCTAATTTGTACCTACATATTGGTAAGGGAAGTGAAGGGACAGGTGAAAAGACTAAATTTGATTACTCTGCATACTGTATCCTCCTGATTCAATGGAGGAGCAATCTACATGTATATACATGTATTTTGTGTGAATGAGATACAGTCATAAACTCCTTCATTTTTATGATATGCATTGTTGGTTTTTGCATTATATAGGCAGCTAAGTTTAATGTTAGCAGTCTTATGGTAGGCTTTATTATGGGAGCATCTCCCTTATGTGTGACATTTATGTCTCCAATTTTTGGATATTTTGTAAGTTATACCATGTAGCTTTGGATTGTTGCATGAAGCAGCAATTACTGTCATAATAAGTATAGATTCCTCAAATTGGACTCAAGTTTATGATGATAGCTGGTTGTTTTCTTGTTGGTGGATCATTCCTTTTACTAGGGTAAGTTTCGTACTATATGTACGTGTATTTTCATTGTGTGTATTTATGCAGTTTTTATTTGTACAAATTGTAATTATTACCATTTTATAATCTTATTGATATGTATATGTTTTTCTGTAGATTTTTAGTGAAGATGTCAAGTTATTTTGAATTTGTCTTTTTCTCTATACTATTAAGAGTTGTCGAGGGCATTGGTAGTGCTGGATATATCACTGCCTCTTTCACAATTGCCACAATCCTTTTCCCAACTAAGACAGGAACTGTCATAGTAAGACAGGAAGTCTGTTTATTTGATTAATTGTTCCATTCAGGGTATGCTTGAATTAGGCTCAGGAATAGGATTTGCTATTGGACCACCATTAGGGGGATTTCTGTACAAAGTTCGCTTGCTTTTCTGTTAATAATAATAAGCTTTTTGTTATTATTAGATAGGAGGATTTTTTCTACCCTTCCTTGTGACTGGTAGTACAGTCTTAGTATTCATAATTTTGTTTGTGCTGTTTGTGCCAGACACAAGTAAGTGTTAATAATTGTTAAGGATTAAATGCATTTTTTGTTTTTGTAGAGGGAACGAAACAATATGTATCTCCTAGAACTTTACTGAAGTTCTCAATGAATGTTCCATTCCTTTTGCTAAGTGAGCCTTATACATGGACATTGTTTTGTGCATTATTTTCCCTTTTTCCATGTAGTTTTGTGTCATATATTAGTGATAGCTTCTTTAGGCTTTTTTTCTCCTGTTATGTCTTTGTTTCTCATTGATCAAGTACTCACATATCTGGCATATAAGCTATAGACATATATTTTACGACTTAGGGGTTTAACCCTGCTGTCGTTTCTATAATTGTTTTCACCATCACGCTATCTATATATACTTCTATATTTATTTGTATGTCCACAGTTACATTTCTTCTATGCATGTTGTATTGGAAAACTAACAAAATTGATATGCCTTAGCAACCACCCAGCCAGGTCCTTTATGTAAAGTGAATATGGCATGGCAAACAAAATGATGACTTACGCATGTGACAAAGTTATGAGCTTTGTAACAGCAAGAGAACAGAGATACTGTCTAAAGTTGTCTGTAGAAGCATTAGAAGGAAGAGGGCCACAATAAGTTGTAATCAGAATCCAGCTATGCATGCAATGTGGTGGAAACAATTATAGGAGTATTTTTACACTGTTACTCTTGTTTTTTTGTTAGTTTAATCTATCAGAAATATATATTGGAGTAATTTTTTTTATTGGGCCTGCAGCATATATGTTGTCTTCAATAGTTGCTGGACGTCTCTCTGATAAATTGGTTAGCATAAATTTTATTTTCTTTTTTGATTAAAATCTCTTTGAAAAATGTATTGAAGTACATTGTATGTATGTACTTAGAATTACTCTGAATCTCTGATGTGACTAAAAGTTAATTATGACATTTTTTCAGGGTCCTAGATACCTTATTGTTGGTGGTCTTTTATTGTCTGGTATATCATTCTTTTTTATTGGGCCTGCTCCTTTCATTCTAAATAAAAGGTACATATGATAATAAATTAATAGTGAAATGACAATTATGTTTAACAGTCATGTATGGTTGACATGCACATCAATGGCTGCTGTTGGTATTGGCATTGGTTTTGGAATTGTTCCAATCTTTTCTGACATGTTACAAGTGATAAGGTAAGAAGCTATACTCAAATTTACAGGCACTTGTATATGCTGTGCTGTGATTATAAATAGGAGAATAGATCCAAGTGCAACAGGGGATGAAATGTATGGCTACTTATCTGGACTTTCATCGGCTGCATACAGTTGTGGGTGGGTACCCTATGCGAAAAACAACTAAAGTAAACTCTATTCTTTTTAGTGAATTTTTAGGTCCAATAATTGGAGGAGCCTTAGCTAAGATAATGAGTTTCCAGATGTCAGCTTCTGTAAGTTACGTGTATACTGTTTTTGTGTGTTTTAGATTTTTTCTGTTTCAAAAAATCTGTTAAGCTCAGGGTTCTACCTATGATGGTCATGGCATACAGAAGAATATTAGCGACCATTTTTTGTATTAAACCACACCTATTTTAATACTAAAGTAATTTCACCTACGAATCTAGACCCTGTTATGCAACTATACCAAGTTTCAGGTTGCTAGCGTAACAAAAAGTGATAAGAATGCTTCACCTGTGAAACTCAAATGAAACTGACTATATGCATGGTGGCTACCTCAACAAAATATATACATGTATTAATTTTATCCGTTAGACAATACATGGCAACAATACCAGTAGCCATATGATTTGTACCATATATGCAATGTAAATTAAACAGTACTTGTCTCCATCTACAATGTGCCTTTTATTTTTGATGCAGAATCCTATGGAGCATTGTTCTTTATGACTCGTTATTTATTATGCTATTCATAATACTGTTCATTTATGCCTTTAATTTTAATGCCATACAGCTGGAAATATTTATACATGTACATGTACATGTACATGTCTTTGTGGCAATTTGTTTTCAAGTGGTTGATTTTACATTGGCTACTTTATACAGCAGCCATGAGTTCATAATTGAACATGCTCAGAATAAAGCAAAATGGGAGAGTTAATGGTTATGCAGTGTGTGACAGTCAATATCAATTGTCTGTAAATATTTTACATGTATGGTATATAATGTTTTTTTCTTCTATTAGATTGTAGGAATGTTCCTTCTGACTGAGGTATGCCTGTGTACATGTACAGCACTGGTCAGCAATAAGTTGAAATGTTTTGTGTTTGAGTTTGCTATAGTTTACTGTTTTCATAGCAACATACTAGTTGTAAACTAATATTATCTATGCTCAAATGTTACCGCAATCTCTAACAATGCAACTTGTGTAAATTCAAACATAAAGTGGTTGATTATGTTTTATCACATTTTATTGCGTTCACTAAACGAGTTTAGTCCAGTTTAGCGATCAATTGCTTGTCAATTTATTGCTTACCAGTGCACAAGATGAATTATAGTTATTATTGTCATTTGTTTCTTGTTCCTAGGCTATTTTATTGCTTAGTGTTACTGTTGTGGATCAATTTTTACCTCGCCTATCAGCTAAAATTTAAAACAAAAATGTTTTTATCAATCATGAATAGCATTTTTTAAATCCATTGTGCATGTATGAAACATTTCATTTAATGCAGAGTTTTATCATTATTTTTTATGCACATAATTATTATAATGATGTGCCCAAATTTAAATTGAGCAATACATGTACCACGTACCAACTGATGACTGTTTAATGTGAACTATATATTAAAGGAAGAATAACAATATTTACAAAAATAATTAATAAACATCAATCATGCAAGGTATTCAAACAGTAACAATGATCAGTAGAAATAAAACAATAAATAAAACTGAAATAATCAATACATGTTTATTAATAATAATTAATCAACAATACTATAATTGTATTCAAAGACTGTCTGTACAACAGTTTTATCCAACAAGAAGTAATAAATTATGACAAATAATCATTCTAAATAGCTGATTGTTTGTATCGAAGTGGAGCTGGAGCACTAGACGTTGAAACATTTGTAGTAGGTGTGACATTAGAGGTACTTAATGAAATACTAACACTAGGAGTAGAAGAACAGCTGGGAGAAGGAGGGCTAACTACTGAAGATGAGGAAAGACTAGGAGTAGATGATGCATGTAGAGTATCAGAGGGAGATGATGCAGGAGCAACAGTAGGAGTGATAAATCCAGTTGATTGACTTGAAGCCACTGATGAAGTGTCCCCACCTTCCAGGAGTAACTCCTGCCTTTTTTTAGACTTCTTGGATGCTGAACTTGGAGCACTATTACTAGCACTTGGATCATCATATACTTCCAAAGGGCATATTAAGAAGAACATCAATACATTGACTGGTGACATGACATCAAAAGCTGCAGCAGCAGACTGGCTGTTAGTGCCTGGACGAAGAAGATTAGGACCAAAAAGTGTCGCTAGATTATTTAGTGTCATTTTATTAGTCTCTGATTCTGCAGCAACACTAGAAGAGAATTATCAAAATAAACAGATGATTACAGTACATGTGTGAGAAAAAATAGTAAAAATAGTAAAATATTTATGAGACTGACTTTCGTAGGTGCTTGAAGAGAAACACAGCAGTTTTAAAATTTACTTTTGGTAAAGAGTGAAGCAATGTCACAAGTGATTGTTCCCTAGCTTCAGGGTCAGCCAAAGCTACATGTACAGAACAGATGATAACAAGTGCAATAAGTAGATCTGAATTATAAAATACTCACCAAGAGCCTGAACAAAGCTCATATAAAGGTCATCTGTAAACAAAGGATCCGGCAGCTCACGAAAATATCGTTTCAGTAACCCTGCTACTGCATGAATATCAGTTTCAAATGCTATTTGTTGAGCATGTATATAATCTAAAACGTGCATAAAAATGACAAGAAATGAATACCTTAAACATGTACATGCCTTATAATGTACATGTACATCATGTACAGTGTAGAAATAAAATTTCCTTTGTATGAAAAGCTTGGATGATTTAACTGTTTGTAATAAGAAAACATGTACATGCAATACTGAATGTGCCATGTGAGTACATGTACATGTACAATGTACATGCATAAATGATTTAATTTATGTGAATTTATCTGGCAAAATTAAATTCATGGTATAAGCTAATGTCTAGATACAATAAGTACCACTTCAACGAGAGTCATATAGATTCTAACCTGTATCAAATGCCATTCTCAATTCTTGTACATCACGAAGTACTCCAGCAACACGATATATACCAACTTCAGACAAGCCACGCCGCTCTACTTCATCAACACAGGTTTGGACAATCAGTGGAATATCATGACGTTCTCTCCTTCAAAAATACATTGTAAAAGCATGTACATGAGTATATGTGTGTGTAGCTTGTACAAAGCACATTTCAAAGTATAACAACCCTGCTTTATTGAGTACATGTAGATTGGACATGTACCGTAGATCAGGTAATTTTTGGTGGTTGAAAATTTTTAATGAAACCAGAAATGACTTTAGAATAAAAATTCGTAGGCTTTATTTTTGACTAAAAAACAGTTGACCTGATGTCTTTATTAGCCTCTGTACCACTGATAGCATCAGAAAGAGGTCCTCTGGTCTTGTAGGGTCTGGAAGAGGTACTTTAAGAGGTGAATGCCGTTTTCAAGGCCATCTATGCTTGTTATCATGTTATTATTGATTTACTATGGTCACGCCAATCTTTTGAATTAATTTCGTTCAGAATTATTCGCAACAAAACGGACAAAAATAAGCACCAGTCGAAAATTACCCGCTATATGGTACATGTATATGACGAAAATTATCCGCTATATGGTACATGCATATGACTGCAAAAATTAACAATTACATGTAATTCTTACTTAGCCACGACATCCATAGGAAATCCAAACACACCAGAGCTCAAGAGTGCCGGTCTTTTTCCCATGGATGCCATACTAGTAAAGTACTCTACAACTAATGTTAGGACTCCTTGAGGATGTAACCGAATATCCACTTTGCACCTTTTGCTGGATTTTAGCTCTTTCACAGGTAACTGGTTAAAAACAAAAAAGCAATAAAAAAGTAAGTGAGGTAGCCTACATACATGTAAGTCAAGCATCAGTGAATAATAATACTCAATAGTCAATGGTATAAAATTAGAAAAATCTAACGTACAATGTACAGTTACATGACAATCTACATATACATACACACACGCACAAGTGAACTGCACTTCCAATGCACATGCAGTACATGACTACATGTACATGAATGTAACTTGCATGTACATGCACTATATAGCCAAGAATTTTCATGTGTGATTCAGGAATATTGCCCAAAATTACTGAATCAGGTCAGACTTCAGTGATGGTACAGCCTTCAAAGCCATCATAAATTTTGCTTTATCCTGATCCAGGATAAATGCTGTACTCCATGGTTGTATCAGGGCTGATGACTCAAAATCTACAGTGCATGTCTGATATCAAGACTGACTGAGACTGATCATCTACAGGTACATGCCAAATCTTGGCTGTGTACATGTACATGTAGCATAGAATGGCAAACGTAGCACAATATACATGTATATGCACAAATGCCGTCATAAACTTATGTTTTAAGTCACATTGTACATGTTAAAACAGCGTTAATGTACATGTACAATGTATTTCGAAAGGCACTCACCTTTAGTTTACCGACTGCACACATCTCCTCTTTCAATAAAGACTTATAAAATATCATAGCTTTCATCATATGAGCACCAACTGTTTCTATCTCAAAATCTTGATCCCATGTAACCATTAATGTTGTCATATCCATATTAACTGGTAGTGTGCGAGCTTTCCGGTCAAAGCGGCTATATTCGTCAAACTCAAGAGCACAATGTAAACCATCTATTGAAGAATGAAAATGATTAGAAAAAAGATTCATGAAAAACACTAGAGTAAAACTGACACACATGTACATGTGTCTGCAAATCTAGTTTCAATAATAGCCACTGTTTTCACTATAGTTATGGCTACCTGTTGCATGCACAAGTACACATGACATGTATTGCTATATACACATACATGCACATGCCTATTAACTAAATCAATTAACTTATATTATCTGAAAAGGTATTGTGTAGTGGACTAATTTAGTTTTTACAGAAATATTTGAGGAAATAAATGGCAAATTTGCAACAAAAGAGAAATTGGTGATTCTATAATGTCACAATAACAATATTTAAGATGAAGTTGTACTTACAATTTTGTTTGATTTTCATATCCTTTGCTGATGTGACATGAACTCTAAGAATACCAGTCAAATATTCATCCTCTGTTCAAAATATTTCAATAAACAATTTAAAATACATGTAATTATTTTTATACCATCTGTTTGTACTTCAATGACTTCTTCTTGGTCACGAGTTAACTACAAGTACATGTACATCAAGAAAAATCATATACATGTAGGTACAAAATGACATCGGTACTCACGTGAACTTTCTGCCTATACAACAAATCTTGCAGTTCAAACTGTGACAATGTAACACTTTGAACAGCTATGTACAAAGAAAATTATACGTCCATAATTTAAATTAAAAAGACATTCAACACTACCTTTTGGCTGCAGCTTTTTAATTGCTGATATCCAACTCTCTCGTTCATCTTCATTATGAAGGAGGAACACATATCGCTAAACAAATTTAGACATAAACTGCAAATGCAACAATAATGGTACCTTTCCATTTGTACTGTAAAGCCTCAAAGGAAGAGAAGGTGAAGCTATCCAATAGGATACTTGCTGTTCTTGTAACTTTTTTCTGAGCTTCTCTGGCTTTGTTCCAATAAATTTAAAGTTGCGTTTCTAAAAAAATATGGAAAAAAAAGTGAAACAATGACAAGATAAATAAAAATAATAAGAATAGTCTTCATACAAAAGAAGCATCTTTGTCTAGAGTGCTGCTTCTCTTTTCTTTGACCTCTCTATTGAGTTGAGCCTTCAGTTCAGCTATGCGAGACTTAATGACACTTAGCTCTTGATCACTAGTCACAGGTACAGGACGAAGGGCTATTAAATGAGAATAATTAGCGTACATGTAACTTTTAAGTTTCAAAGTACTGACCTTCAGCTTCTGGTGGGTGAAACCGCAAGTTGTGAAGTGGAACATACCATTTTGGTTCTAATTTGACACCTTCACCATGCCTACATGTAATTAGCAAATTAGTAAGTAAACCACTGAATATACATAAAGAACGAGTACATGTACATGTCTATATGTCCAATCCATAGTGTACATACATGTACCTGGGAGACTTCTCTTTAGCTGAAACAAGAACGTCATGAAACAGAAACAAACGTCGAATTTTTCTTGATCGCTCTAACAGTTCAACTACAAGCTCTTGCTTTACAAGTTCACGGTTAAAACCACCACTTAACTACATGTAAAACAAAAGATTGCAATAAAAACTAACTTTCTCCTCAGTTATTACTACCAATATCCAGGACAGCAAAATAGGAAAAAGAAAGATACATGTATATATATCATACAAACATGTATTAGCGTAAGGAATGTATAAGTGCAAGTAGTGATACAAAATATGTATCAGCAAACAGAATCCAACAAACATAATTACTTTAAAACAGCAAACATGGTATTTCATCATGGCTTATTGGGTATTGCTCATCACATATGTACAATAAATAATCCCCATGAGTATATTCTAGTAATTTAAGGTATGTTTGTGTATTGAATGGCAGTTCAGTTCAGATAATGACTAATTGTACATGCATCAACGGCACATTTTTACCTGTTGAAATGCTCTTGGGTCATGAGTACTAGCAATAAAATCAGACATGACATTGAGCGACTGTTTAAGAACTGAAAAATCATTATGTGCTTCTGGAGTGTGTTGGCAAAGATCCTGCATGTAAATAAACAATGATAATATCAATCATTCTGACTTACAGTTAAAACCAAAGAATAGCTTTGTAACCTTTCAATTGGCTTCCTTAGTAATTCTGTGAGCACCAATATAGAAACACAAGCAATATTAAAACAGACTAACCATTAACATTAGGAACATCTTTAAACTGATTCTGAGAAGAAACTGTTACCTTAACATCCTATTAGGTAAAAATACATGTAAGTAATGCATTACATGATATGAGTCAACATGTGCAAAATGATAACCAGTGAACATTCAAATATTTGTGTTACACGAATGCTAAACACAGGAATGTACTACATGAAAATATATGTAGTAGCTTTTATGATGGGACTGGAAAGAGCCACTGTGCATGTACATGTACATGTATGTATTTTGAAACCAAATGTCATGAGCATACAATACATGTACCTTAAGGAGACAATTATTATCGTGTACTTATTTTAGCAATTTTCATGATACTGACATTTGGCTGGTACTTAATTTAGCGTTTTTGATCATTTGGTATTACCAAATAACTACTGAAGAGTGTAAAACATTTGGGGAGAGCCTAAACAAGCTATAGATTATGTGCTGTGATCTACATGTATGAGCAAGCAAAGCAATTGCACAAGTCTAAATACAGTAGATCTTGTTGCATTAATCTTGCTTAAATTACTTCAAGCTTCATCACTGACTCTGCTCCAAAAATGTAAAGTTATCTTGCTTACAATTAGAAGCAGTCACTGAACAAAGAAGATTGTCATCTGCTTTGTTTAGGTCTTTGGACAGCCATTCAGTCTTATCTTGCTGACTGTTTGCTGCAAATAAGCTCAGAGTTGCTGACAGCCACCACTTTATTTGTGACCACACCCACTTTCAATGAAGTTATTAAAGTTAGCACGGACTAAAGTTAGTGATTTTTAAAAAATCGCTAAATTTGCTAAATTAAATACCCGCAAACAATTGTCTCCTTAAGGTATATGCATTGTATATTATATGCACGTATTTGCACTTCAACAAGAGTCTAAATACCAATTTATACACAGCAACAACATTAAAAACCAGTAAAAATGTACATTAACTACATGTACATGTACATTGTACATGCAAAATACACTAGTATGCTTGCCTTTAAAAACTCAAAATTATGCTAAAAAGGGATTGGCAGGTTTAGTCATGGTAAAAAACAAATACTTTTAAATACATGTACATATGCATGTATACATGTACATGTATGTACTGTAGGTTGGGATATATATTAGCAGTTGCAATTATTCGTATTTTTTTCCGATGACCAACAATTGCCATAAAAACCTGATACTATTTAATTGAAAACTCCACAATACTGAAGCAAAGCACCATGTTGAAGTCATTTTGAGGAGTTGTTCTTTTTGTTGTTATTAACCTTTGGTCTCTTTGGAGCTGCTTAACCAGTTCTTTTCAAAACTACTGTCTCGCTGTGTCTTGAAACTCTACACCCACTTAAGTTAGTGTCTATTGACTTGGGTGTGGTTTATTATCACTAGCATAAAGACCAGCAACAAAAATGAGTCACTATTGGTAAATTACTCCATTAAAAAATAAAGTGCTCTAACATTTGCCATGATATGGTTTTATTACCCCAAAAAATTACAGCTGTGAATATATCTGAACCTATTGTATATTGTACTCTAGGATTAGATTAGTTCCACCGTATATGTACATGCATGCCATGTTACTGTACTGTGCACATTGAAATCACAAAGTGTCACAAGAAATAAAACTTACATCAAGAAACTTTTTAAAATTTGGATCCTGCTTTGAGCGTTCTAAACAGTCCAAAGATCTTCTATACATCTCAACATAATCTTTGTACAGTTTCAGGTTCTTGCACTACAAATACAATAAACAATAAGAAAATTAATTTATAGTAGCTAAATGTATCATTCTATCTATTAAGTTATGCATTAATTCAAAGTGAAACTTCTTCATCTGCCTCAGTTTTGATATCTGGCCAAACTTTTGCCTTTCTTCATTCTCAACTCAAAAAATGGAAGAGAATTCAATAGATGATTGTGTCCCATCATAAAAAATAGCCAACAAACAATACATTTGCAAGTACAACAGAAATTCTGTAATGCAAAATGAATGGTCATTATACTCTACACAGTTCTGCTAATGGTGGTAAGGGGTGGTTGGGACGAACACCTCAACAAATGAACTAACCAGTTCATTACTTAGACCAACCATGCAATGAACATCAATAATCATTATGATACAGGATATTCTAGTCAAATAGTACGGTGAACATAAATTTAAAAGGAACAATATTTTTCTCCGACCACCTCTAAATTTATTCTAGACTACATGTATTTTTCAATAATTCTCATCCTATAACTATACATGTACAGTGTATGTGTACATCAACAGATTCACAAAATTAACTAGAATAACGTAAATGATAAGAAACGAGCCAAAGCTAGCATCACATACGCATGATGTCCTTGGAAGGTAGCCATAAAGGGAGCTACTAGCTTGCTCTGTCACCCGATGTACTATAGTTGCTAGAGTCCCGCAAAGTATTTATAACAGTCTCCTATTAACCAGTTCCAAGACGCCTACATGTAGGATGGTTTCAAATTTCAATGCATAATGCACTCACCAGATCCTATTTCCAATCTTGGTTTATGCATAATATATACATGTACCGTATATCTTTAAATAGAAGCCGCATGCGAATAAATGCCGGGGTAGCAATAGAATTGAACTATAAATACGTAACTTCAGCCACAAAGTGACTCAGTAGACTTGCAGCGAATACTGCCTAAAGTTCCAGGCGTGCAATGCATGAGGTCACGGGTTTGAATCCCACTCTGGGCCAAAGTTTTTTTACTTTTTAATTTTTTTTCCAAGGTCCAAATACCATTTTAGGAAATAGACGCCCGGGCTTTTACTTAAGGAAATACGGTATGCATATGTGTGCTTTTATTTGTTTTAAGTGATTTTTCCTGGGAAGAAATAAACGCCTGGGTGTATAATTAAACAAATACCGTACATAAATACATGTATTTACACAAGTACATAACATGAAAAGCATCAATGTGCTGTCTAGCTGTCATTAATGTAGATGCAACATGTACATGCATAAATGTGATGTTAAAATACAGCCTACATGTATAAAGTAGAAAACATTATGTACAAGTAGTATTGGACTATTGGGCTAAACACTCTACATGTACATTGTACTTACCAGTTCTAAAAAGAATCCTCCAACGCAAGAGTGCATACCCCAGTCAGGTAACAAGGATTCCAGCATTTCATGAAGAGACGAATGTAGTGAATGAAGATCTTCTACGCGATAGAAAATTGTGTTGACATCAGTCTCAGAAATGATAGCTTGACTGGTGCTACTATGAGCTAGGAGTGGCTTTCGATAAAACTAAAAAAAATAAGTTTCTTTGAATGAAGACTAATGATTACTGTGGTAAATTTAATACACATACATCATACATTGTACAAACTGTACATGTACTGTTCAGTTGAAATGTTAGTGGAATTAACTTATGCATGCACATGTGAAATATCTGAAATGCTGTAACATCAACATGTGACAATGCACACGCATGCCTCCAATATCATCCCACTCAATACACACAACCTCCTAGGCACACCTCCCAAGCGCCCTTCCAAAATATTAAGGTTTGTTAGCCCCAGTGCAGGCCTTCAACATCTTTGCAAAACAGATGAACAATAATAGAATAATATAGAGCAGGCTTGTCAGTCACACTTGGAACCCTTTTGAATAGGTCATGTGACAAAGTTATTACCAAGTGCCTATACCTGTGCTTATAGTGCCACAAGTTCAGTAGCAGTCTCAACAGACTCTTCAGCACCACCCTGGCGCAAGAAGAGGTTGGGCCAAACTAGTACAAAATTACACAATGTCCAAAGAAAAACGATCAGATTTTACTATGGTGGTATCATTTTATTGGATTATTTCATCAAAGGCACAGGGAAAATATTCTGCATTACTCAAAATGGAGTCAAGCAGTGAAGGATATAGATGTACCTGGTACATAAATTTACATGCACATGTAAGTATATATCATCTTTCAATAATAAAAAAACACCATCTACATGTACATGTACATGTAGACATGCAGTACTAACTGTTATTCTAATGGATTACTTTACTTTTTAGGCTGAAGTTTACATGGCTAAATTTTTCTTCAAGTTAGTTCATCTAAATTTCTGAACCAACATGTAAATTTATTTCAGTTAAATGTACAACACTAAGTACAATGTATAATCAGTGTCAATTTTAATATTTGTGGCAGAGTTTTAAGGATGCATTTACATGTACATGTAGAAAGAAAGGTAAATGCATTGTTTAAAGGAAACTATTTTAAGTCTTTTACTCCTTATACTGGTACAGGATGTAAATGTAATATGTGATGTTGTACATGCATATACATACAATTTTGTTATGGTTCAGCCCTACCTCTTTTGTCACATTGAGACAATCAAGATATGCCTTTTCAGCTGTAACAATACCAGCTACTACTAGTTTTCTGATAACTAACACTTCTCCATGTACTACAACTGTCTCACGACGAACAGGATACATACGTGACGAACGAGCAGATAAAGACTAAAAGAGATAATGATGAAAACATACATGCACACATGTACTGTAAGCAAAAAAGTAACACAAAATAATCTGGAATAGTAATTGTGCCAGCAAACAATAGAAACATATCAATAATTACAATCATAGTTACAATTACAATGCTGCATTGTACATTATAAAGTACAATACAACTTATAAGCAAGTGAAATCTAAAAATGAATGTTTGTTCAAATTGAATATTCATAATTATTATGAAACATTATTTAAGAAACAAGTGCATGATGCTGTAATAAAAGGCTCAAAATTTGCGTTGCAAATAAAGAATGAAAATAACAATTTTAAGTGCATTCAATGAACTTGTAAAGCACACCGTAATGTAGTTACAAAGTTTTGTCTTGTCTACTGTATGTATTTGTTTCATTTTGGTTACACTTTTATTCTCGTAATACCAGCTCAAAAAAACCAAACCCACAAAAACCTACCAATTTGATTTCTCACAAGAAAAGAAACTTGTTAAATTATTGTACATAGTATGCATGTCAATGCATTTAGCACAGCATAGAGCCTAAGCACACCATACAGTCATGCATGTACATAAGTCACCTGCTTAGTGCAAAAATTCAAAAGCTGTAAATTTTGTGAATTAAGTGATCTTCGAAGAATAAAAAATTTAATTTACTATGCTACAAGACGGCAATAATTACAAAAACTTAAACCCCCAGAAAAAATTTTAAAGGCAAATTTGCAAAATATGCAGTACTCAAAATTTTGTGCTGTACGGTAAATTAGGTGGCGGAACAAATATAAATGTACGTGCAGATAAATATGTCTGGCAAACCAAGCAAAATAAATTGCATGGCTGGCTGTTACTTTTATCCCTGAAAACACGCTACACTAACACACAGTGAAAGATTACAGTAAAAGTAGACATGTACATGTATAATAAACAATGAATATTAACTATCATAACAATCACTCAGAAAAATTTACATGCATAAGCTATAAGTTCTTCTTTCAGCCACATGTACACTGAGTAAATGTATAAGCACAAACTTAAGTAGAGAATCAATTGTAATTTGTTATTCATGACAGACAGCAAACAGTGTATACACACCTGCTCACAGTTTACAAAGCAGCTGTGAACATAACAAAATACTTGCTATAAGGGATGCAGATGCTCTATATTACGAATACTTAAGTTAACTTAACTGAATGTACAAACATACAAATGGTTTTAAAGTGTTACTATATGAATGGCTATCACCATCAAATAAAAGTAAACTTGAGCCAGCGTATAACATAAGCATGTAGTATTAAAATAATGGAGTGTCAATGTGCCATAGCAAAAAAAGCTTTAATGCAGTGTATCTTATGTACATATAAACCCGTACATACACTCTACATGTTCCAAAAGGTTAACATATATGTCACATTGTACATTGTAAGTAAAGCTAGAAGACATACATGTATGTTTAATTGTGTATACACACATGTACATGTATATTGTGTGTTATTCTTTTATAGATGTACATGTACAAAATACATGTATGAACATCAAAACAAACAGAAGATATGCATAAACAGTGTTAATACATGAAACGTTCATTAGATGCACCTCTTAAAGTTGCACAAGTCAATCCCTTATATAATTACATGCATGCATCATAATTTATAACTATACAAACTCAATCATGAGTATCATTCACAAGTACATGTAATATACAAATCCCAACACTAAAACATTACAACTATTAATGAGCTTGTAGGCACCCACCTGATGATGAATAGGCATATGATCATATGGCACAAAATGAGTGGGACTTGAGGGATCGCTGCTTGATGATACAGGTGAAGGGGATTGACATGGTGAGGAATCTTGTAATTCTAGTAACATCCTATGTAGCCTTTCCTCATCAATGCGTTCATCAGTAAATTGGTTCTCAAGTACCTGAGCTGCCCTATTCCTTTCCTTTATCCTGCCACTGTTTGGACGCAAATTAACACCTCCCAATGGTGTTGCTGGTTCAGGCGACATACTACGACGAGAGTCATTTAAAGATGACATTGAGTTGCTTCTCGAAGCAAAAATAGTGTCCCTGAGAATGTAAGTCAATGTACTTTCAGCAAGATTCTGAAAGTCAGTGTGAAACCCACTATTTTCCATGTCATTAAAGCTACCAGTTTCTTCAACATCACCAGTTGATTGTTCTTCATCTTCGTCATCAAATGATAATTCTTGTCTGTGCTGAGCAATCTGCCCGGCTTCAAATAAACCGATTTCTAAATTATCTGATTGAGGCACTTCCATTGACGGTGAAAATTCTTCATTAAAAATATCCGTGAGTGTATCTGTTGGTGTCTTTTCACCAGAAGTGTTGGTATAGAAACTATCTCTCTTTAAAGTTAGATTAGGATCAGAATCCTGACGTGGTCCTTTGTTACCAAGAGAATCATCACCAACAATTGTCTTTACAGATGCTACAAACTCATTATCATCATCTTCAATCAAATGAGGGTGTGTCCCATTTGACAATCTCTTCGCTTCCTTACTATTCCCAGGAATGTCCATTGGAGATGATTTTTCCTGGTGGTCAGAAGTCAAGGGTTTAAAATCTACCTGTGCCACAAATTTTGGTAAACTCCTACTCGGTGAGTTTCCGAGACTCCTTTCACCTCTTGTTTCACTGCCTTCTTTTACAAAAGTTGACGATTCACTACTCGACCTTCTTCTTCCAAAATATGTATTTTTGGTTATACTTTTTTCTGGTATAATAAGTTCAGACCGTTCTAAAAGACTGTTATCTTCTTCAAAATCAAGTATCCTTTTACTACCAGAGAAAGACAAGTGCTTTGCTTTGACTTTATCTTTGACACGGCGGGCAAGACTCTCGTGATCCCTGTCTACTTGCTCACAGGCTCTTCTTCTCAAAACTAGGACGGACGAATCAGATGGTGTCTTGGTAAAAGATGGTGGATTAGTGACACATTCAGACTCAGTGGCAATGGCGACGGGTGCTTCCTGGAGAAAGGCAAGGCGGTCCGGCCCACTTGAGGATATGGCACTGGGTTGTTCTACTTCCAGCTCGACGTCCAGCAAATGTAATAATGCTTGCTCTTCTTTTAAACGAGTCGAGAGGCTTTGTATTCTTTTCCTGCAAGAACTAATTGCCTTTTTAACATCATCCAGATTTAACCTTCCTATCCATTTTGGAGGATCGGTTCCGAAGGTTTGTAACCATCTAGCACTAATATTATCAAATGACTCCAGCTTAGACTCCATTTTTGCAAGTATTTGACTGTTGCTGATTTCTTAGTAAGCGTATGAAATGAAGGAACCTTCCTCTTTCACTGCTCACAACATCGACAAATTATTGCATAGTCTATTAGTCTGTGAAGCTGTAGCCCCTCCTACACTTGTTTACAATTGCTTCTTATATTATCATTCATTATTATTGTGCTATAGTGCAGTTGGACATTGAGTCCTCAGTACAGTTATCATTCCTAGGCTGATTTTATTTGAAACGATGCAGTGTTTTTTTTAAATTTAGTTGTGTATATAAGCACAGATATAGATGGTCAAACTAAAATGCCAGTACTGTGGATAGCCCAGTACTGGCAATGTCAACATTGATGTCATGTGGCAATGATAACATACAATTCCTGACAATCAGAAAGGTGTGGACTGATTATGTCAAATCGAAAATTATTTTGATTAAAAAAGGTGCTATATGCAAAGGTCACTAAATACATGACGGTGTGTCAAAATTACAATGTGATAATAATGTACAAAGTAATATTTTTACCAGACTATTCAGTCCTGCCTAGATGTCACTGGTGCCCCTCTTTAAACAACAATAAAAATGAATGTCCTTGAAAGTATTCTTACTATGATTTTTCATCTCTGCTTATATTAATCCAAGTCTCTAGTGTGCATCAATAATTATTAACAAAATGCCAGCTAGCTAATTTGAAAATTTTTGGGGAATTGTCGCAAAATGTAGTTTCTTTGGTATGACAAAACCAGCATAAAATTATGAATTTAACCAGTTCATTGCACTGCAAAAATCATTTCAGCCATCCACATAGCAGTATTTAAAGTAAATTAATATTTTCATAAGTAGATACCCGGTAAGTATCAGTTAGCTCATGGCAATAATTACAATTCTTGTGAACATATGCCACTGACAGTGTAGCTTGAGATTTCTATTGATGGGGTATGCAATAGCCTACATGTATATAGGCCTCTAATCTGGCATGCACTTAGTTGCAAGAATTCCTTATGCATTTGAGTTAGTAGTATCAATTGAATTTAACAAGAATTATAATTTTTACATCATGTAATAAAAATGATTATTAGAAAATAATATTATTATCATGCAATTAGAATTATTGCTTAGCAAGTTAAAGTCTCGCTGTCTATGGCTCTGCATAATATTCAGTATTATACTGACTCTAGTCAGAAGTTCAGCCTGCATGCCTTCAACTAACTGTCCCTTTTATTTTGAAGATGCTAGATGCTATTATTGTTGCAATAATCGAATTGACTTTGTCACTTATTAACGATAATTAAGAATGATTAAAAGGAACTAACAACAACAAAGGACGAAGGTAATAAAAGAGTAAAATACAGTGCATTATATAGTACAAAGAACAGTCTAGAAACATACAGAATTTTTACACTAATGAATAATCTGGATGTATATAGAAAGTCCACATGAATGTTCTAGAATCTACCAAATACAATAATCAATAATACAATAATAATCAATAATGTTACTTTACTGTTACATCAGTAACAGTAAATTAATATAAACAAGAGTAAATAATACTGTAGGTATCGTTTACTCTGGATTATACTAACTGTACAGTGATACTGAGCAACAGCTCATTTTGCCATGCATGAGGTCACTATTACAGATAGGCCACTGATGATTATTAGATTCATGGGTCTTACCATAGAAGTGGTACTAGCCATGAATCTAATCTTTCATTGAAAGTTTGACCTTTAAGACATTTGACAATGAGGTTGGAGTTGCTGTACTTCTTTTTTTACAGTATGACTGTGTATATTTTAGAAACAAATGGATGGCCTCAGCAGGGGAAGCATGAGCTGAGGTGGAATCATTCTTACACCGGAATTAACAAGCCATCGAATCCTATTGACAAGGAAGTACTAGAAGAATTCTACCATTCCACAGCAGGACCTGCCTGGTTAAATAATGCTCATTGGCTGTCTGGCGATCCATGTGAGTCAAAATGGTATGGAGTTGGTTGTAACCCATCAGGGGATGTAGTCGAGCTAGATCTCAGCAATAATCTCTTGGCTGGTGAACTGCCCGATCGTCTTTCTAACATGAAGAATTTAGAAGTACTAATACTGCGTCATAATGCTATCAGTGGTACCATATCTCCACTGTTATTCACAATGAAAGCATTAAGAGTTATTGATCTCAGCTATAACAAACTATCCGGTAGTTTTCCCCCTCAAATTGAATTGCCTTTTCTGACAAACTTGAGCCTCTCAAATAATCAACTTGAAGGTTATTTACCTAATCATTGGAATTGTCTTAATCTGGAAGTCATTTCTATTTCATCTAATATGCTTCAAGGAGTTCTTCCAAATGGATTGTCAACATTATCTAGCCTCAAATATTTTGATGTTTCAGAAAATTTTTTCATCGGCCCTTTTCCTAAAGAATACAGCAGTCTCACTTCATTGGAAACTATGTGGCTATTTACCAATCGTTTCAACAATTCTATCATTCCGGAGTCTTGGAACAAGCTAGTAAAAATGAAAAATTTTCAAGCAGACAGCCTTGCTGGCAATTTGCCAGAACTTATTGGAGTAAATTGGAGTGACCTTGAAGTTCTAATAGTAGTTGATGGACATCTGACTGGTGATATACCTGAATCCTTTTGCCACCTGAAGAAATTGAAGTACCTTCATTTGTTTAGAAATTCTTTATCTGGACCTCTTCCAAAATGTTTCTGTGACTTGCCAACTTCATCCCTTGTAAGTATTAACTTGTCTTATAATCAAATCACAGGTACTGTTCCTGATTGCTTTGATAACTTTCGTGACCTGCGGTACTTTTATATGGAAAATAATAATTTAACTGGTACTTTGCCTCGGTCATTAAGTGCTTGTAAGCATCTTTATACAATTGATGTGAGTAACAACTATTTAGTGGGCTCGATTCCATCACTTTATGCTAACCTGAAGGACACACTCAATTGGTTTGAATTAGATAACAACAGGCTAAATGAAATTGAAGATGGGCTAGAAGATTTCATTGTCACCCTTAGTACAAAATTCTGTTCATTATATGGTAACCCTTGGAGTTGTCCTCTTCCTAATTATTTTAGTGGTAAAGAGTATTGTACAGCTAGGTGTTCAAGTTGTAACACGCTAGAACAACATAGTTCATGTGAGAAATGCCTGACATCAACAAGCAATTGTGGCTGGTGTGCTGATGGACGTAATTGTTTAGAAGGATACACTAATGGGCCGTATTATCCTTACCATTGCGATCAATCAGAATGGGTATTTGGAAACAAAACAAACTGCTAAATCCTAATTATTAGCACAAAAATGCTGTGGCTGTAGATTTTAATGGTATTATTGCTAGTATTACTTCTATGATTATAATCTATGATGACACCCATACACGCCTACCTGAGCTCATAGCTTTTCCCTAGCCGCGTCATCATTGACCTTTCCATGGCTTTCATCATGGAGAAGCTAAACATAGCAATGCTATTGATACTCGTTTACCAGCAAATCCTTCTTTCTAGTTCTAAGGAACTGTACCAAGGTCACCAAGAACGAGATGAAGCGGCAGAAAATAAGCACAAGGAATTATTCAAAGGATCATCATCAAAGCCAACAACCCCATCCGATAAAGATGCCCTTGAGGAGTTTTATCATTCTACAGCAGGACCTGCTTGGCTACAGAATGCAGGCTGGCTCTCAGGTGATCCATGCCAATCGATGTGGTACGGAATTCGCTGCACTCCATCTGGAGACGTTGTTGAGATTACGCTAAGTCACAATGGGTTAGCAGGCCAGCTTCCTCCCAAACTCTCAGAAATGAAAAATTTGCAAATATTGAGGTTGTATGACAATTACATTAGCGGCATACTACCAATATCAATGTTTACAATTCAGTCACTGATAGTATTAGACCTTGATCAAAATCAGTTGAGTGGCAATCTTCCGTCTGTCATATCATTACCATACCTTACAAATCTAAGCCTAGCCAGTAATCAGATTGATGGATTTATGCCATACAGTTGGAACTGCCCTAATCTTCAGTCTGTGTCTGTGTCCTCCAACAACATGATTGGACCACTCCCAAGTTCTTTGTCAAAACTCCCTAAATTAAAATATCTTGATTTGTCAGACAATATTTTTACAGGCCCATTTCCTCCAGAAATTAGTGCCCTTACATCCTTAGAAACCTTGTTGTTTCAGCGAAACAGAGGAAGTAGCGGAGTTGCTCCTACTATACCAGAATCATGGCACACATTAGTAAATCTAAAGAACTTCCAAGTAGATGGCTTATCTGGAGACTTACCAGATATATTTGATAGTTGGAGTAAACTGGAAGTTCTAAAAGTCACATTTGGACAACTAACAGGTGAAATACCAATGTCATTATGCAATTTAAAATCACTTCAAACCCTAGTCATAAGTAATAACATGATTACAGGTACTTTGCCCAGTTGCATTTGCAAACTATCCAGCACAACCATGACCAGCATTGATCTTTCCAGCAATCATTTAACTGGACACCTACCAGACTGCTTTGGTAGCCTACACAACTTAACAGATTTGACACTGGCCAGCAACAACTTCAGTGGAAACCTGCCAGCGTCACTAGGAGCATGCAGTCACTTAAACTCGTTATACTTAGCATATAACCGTTTCACTGGTTCTATCCCTTATACTTATGCCAAACTTGAATTAAAAACACTTGAGATACAAGGAAACAAACTTAGCACTGTTGATGACGGTCTGGAGCAATTCTTCACAGGAATATCTTTTTGTTCTTTATACGACAATCCATGGAGCTGCCCTCTTCCTACTTACCTAAGTAATAATACTAATTGCAATCCCACTTGTTCAAAATGTAATTCTCTGGATAAACACACTTCTTGTAAAGCCTGTGTGAGTTCTAGCGAATGTGGATGGTGTACTGAAGGTCCTAATTGTTTGGAAGGAACCAATCAAGGACCTACATATGAATATAACTGTGAACCATCTAACTGGATATATGGAATTGAAGCTGCATGTAACAAATGACTAAAATACTTCGTTCTTTTGCTCTATACATGTACATGTACTTTTAAGTGATGCTGTGTGTAACTTTTACTTTCCATTAACTTTTTTTTGGCCAATATTAAAATTAAGAAACTTGCAAAAAGAAATTGAAATCATCGGTCCCAAATATTACTTACAGCACATTTACAAATTATTGTGCATGTTTTCACCACAAAGTAAAATCAGTCATAAAATTCGAGGGCAATACAGATAGTGGTAATTAAATACAAGGAGACTAGTCCCACAAAATAGCTATTGTCATGGTCACATTGAACAGATACAATTGCCATTTTGCCAATTTGCAGAAAATACAAATCTCTAGCAATGCTAATGGGAACGTTACACTCCTGCATCACAAAACTGACTTGACGAAAGTGACACTAATTTAATTAAAATGAAGTGGCAATAAGCTACATGTATGCATCAAAAATAATTTCATCACAATTAATTTTAATGAGAAGTTAACACTAACAATTAGTAATTCAGAAATAGCAGCTCTTTTTGTGATCTACATGTACCTGTACAGTGTATATACACAATCTTGTTTCTCAAATAGCTCAATTTTTAAATAGCAAAAACTGAGTATTGCCAACATAAAAAGATAGGCCCTAATTAAGGCAACTGAAAAGCTTAATAAATAAAACTACAAGTAATACTCTATGATACATTTTAGACACAAATCTAGCCAAAAATGCCAGAGTTGATGACTCAAGAGATTCACCTACACTAAAGACCAAAATACACCTATACATGTAGATCTAACAGTGCTAATTCTTGCAGTGTATAGGTTTTTTAGACTATCACATGTACATCACTAAGGGTTAGACACAACCAATTAAGCAGTGAATAGTGTAAGTCAGCATCATAGATGCATATTATGAATACTTTGGTTACAATTTACAAGTATGACTCTTCAGAAGTCAATTCCAATTTCAACAACCATACAGCTAATAACATCTTGAGTATAAACAAGCCAAGTGAAAAGTTTAACCACAACAGATTCTGGGAAAGGTAGCACACAGAAAGTAAAAGTTATTTTAAGCAAAAGCAAAAATAATTATAATTGATATCACTCACAAAGACAATGAAGACCATGCATGAACACAAAATGATGGACGTACATACATGTATACTACAATGTATATCAGTAATGAAGTTAAAAAAAACAGAGCAGTCAAACAAGTTGCAAATTACACGTATGTGTATTATATGATACTTCACTACATGATTTAATTAGTTGTCCCCATAAAAGTTCTCCACTACAAGATGGACAAGTGCTTACGACAGGGATAACCTCATCATCAGAGCAAAATTTAACTGCAAAGCAGGTGATATGAGCCATAAACAAACAACTCTCATGATAACAATGAAGGAAAGAGGCACACATACCTTCCTATAGAAACAGAAAATAATTATTGAATTGTGATGTTCCCAAAAAAGGAAATACACGTACTACTAGTTAGTATAAGAACTTACTAATTTTTCTCGACCACAAAGTTGACACAACATTTTTCTTTCTCTATCATCTTGAATACAAATCTTACATGAGATTCCTTCCTTTGTCATTTCAAAAGCTCCATACAACATAGGCATATGTACAGGTGGTGGCACAGTGGCAGGATAATATTGTTCATAATCTTGTTTTAACCATCTTATTGTCAAAGGTAAACGATGCCAAGGTCCAACAGAGAGCATGTAGGATAAAATACGCAACTTGAATTGAAGACTAGTTTCTCTAGAAACATGCTTCACAACAGAACTGTCTATACGCCTTGATTTGGAAGGATGCTGCCATGCCCATTCAAACTAAGTGGAATAAATACAAAAGTGATTGTGAGATATCAAACGTACTCTGAGAGCAGCTATATCATTAGGAAAGCCATGAACAATCAGTATCATATCCCTAAAATACAATGTAAATGTTATCGCTATGAAGCTCTTATACAAAAGTAATCGAAGGATAGGTTTGAGCTAAATTAAAGCTACATGTACGTGATGGCCATGATGGGTGGCAACAGTACATGCATGTACATAGAGGAATGGAGAAAAAATCTTAATTTCTAATTCTGCAGTTAACAGCCCAGTTAGAGAGAGGTACAAGCTTTAGATATCCTGCAGCAAAGTATTACATCATGTTCATAAAAAACCACATTGTCACCCATTCATTCTGTGCATATTAGGTTTGGGGATAATTATACATGCAGGTTTAGTATCATTATTACTAGAACAATTACATGTACATGTACATGTAAAAATACAGTCTGTTACAAGCATATATTATGAGTACTGTATCAATATTACCATTACAACTAATGAAGTTACAACAATGTAATCTAATTAGTATTACTTTTACAGTGCATGTATACAATGTCAACGCTGTGTAGGTAAATTGGTAGAGAGACAGCAACAAAATAACTATAGTGCCCTAATAAACGTCCATTGAATGAGTTTTCTCTCTGTTAATGTGTCACCACATTCTCTTGGTATTACTGATTAACTACGTGTACATGTACATGTAGTTACACATATACATTGTACATGTACATGTACACGCAATAACAATTAATTTTTAAACAATGAAACATTATGGTGCAATGTACTCGCCCGCTGGAATTCACCTAAGTGATATGTGTTACGTGCACTTTTACTGTTCGTTAAAGCAATTTGAAAAAATGTTATTATCATTACTGATTATTGACTGCATAGCTATATGTATGAGTAATTAAAATAAGCTATGGGTGTATAAACAACTAGCTAATCATGGTACATGGCTAGGAGAAAGAAGAAAAGCTGAAATTTATTTTAGCATCTGAAGCTCTATTCAAAAAAAGAGTTGGCACAAAAATGTTGCCTAGATATTTAAAAGAGACTGAGAGAGTTTGGTTGCAACTGCTTTCCCTAGTGCTGCCTAAAAATTTTTCAAAGAGGCCAAATCACAAACTTTGAGCAACTGTAACTCACAAACAAAGAAGTTAGGACAAAACTGTTCTTTTATTTTTTTGCTAGATAGGATTTTCTACCTCTGAAGCAAATCTTGGCCCTGTAGAGTGAAACACCGGCTCTCACTTGGAGAGAGGTCCCCTGGTTTAGTAGTTTACAGCTTTTGGTGCCACGGGATGCTACAAAAGCATAACTAGATGAAAGAAAGCAACTTTATTTCTTGCTAGAAGAAGAAATATAGCTCTAGAGTGCTCAGATAAAAAGATTAAAAATCAATTAAGCTGTGTGGACAGAATGACGACCCAACTGCTTAGTACCATAAATACTTTAATACACATAGATGTGAAACATTACCGGAAGCTCCATATAAAGTCTATGGAGTATGCACGAATCACTTAACTTTTTTAATAGACTACTTCGAACAGCAGAACTGGAACTTGAAATGTCACCAATATTGGAGGTTCCTACTATAGGTTCCAGCAGGAAATATATATGAAAGCATTATTAAAGGACTGGCTGTTATCTATTGATGATAATCCAATTATATTTTTATCTCTTATATTTTAATTTTAAAAACTGTCATGCATTCAGTACCCGGGACTAGCTGTATCATACCTTCAAAATATCTGGTGAAGAAGAAGAGGCTATAATTTCTGCTAGCTCATAAGCAAAGAACTTGTACAATAATTATTTGCCACTTATTTGCTCTATTAATTATAACATAAAATGATCATTACTTAGTGCTATAGTTGTACTTGTATACCATAGTAAAGTATATCTGCCATATTAATACATCACTTCCGGTTGGACCACATAGAACATCCGGTATAGGGCAGTTTCATATCCATGTGTATTAAAGTATAGATGTTAGTACCCACCTACACAAGCGTGACAAGTCCAAGTATAGTATTACTACATGTACATATATTTCTAAGCTCCCTCTCCCACTATTATCATTACATCTTACTGACCACATCAATGGTGCATATACATGTACATGTACTTTCTCGCCATCCAACATGGCAACAGTTACCTTAAAGCCACTTATTGTTAAGTAGACAAATTTTTGTAATTTGTTAATGGTACTGATTTAACGTGTACTAATTTTTGCAATTTGGCTCATTTTTTTCAATTAATAACTATTAATAAACATAACTTATTAAAAAATACAAGTACTAATTTTTTTCAATTTTAAAGCCACTTGCAAAAAAAGCAAAAATTAGTACTCGCAAATAATAGTGGCCTTAAGCAAGAGTAGATAATAATAGAAGAGAGTGTCCTACTGTGATATACCCCCTGCTTCATCACGTCGTAGAATTAAAGAGTCATATTCAGGATATTTTCAGTATTTTTGAGTAGTTATTCAAAAATAACTACCAATATAATAACTACTCAAATAAAATACTGAAAATATCCTGAATGTGACTCTTCAATTCTACGACGTGATGAAGCAGGGGGTATATGCACAGTAGGACACTCTCTTCTATTATTATCTACTGTTGCCTTAAGGTATGTCCTGTTGATTTCTTTAAAGAGCTCTACTGCAAGAAAGAACACCTCTCAGACAACAAAAATACATATACATTACCATAATTATTTTAACTTCACTAATTCTTACCACGGCCCTCTTCCACTTGTTTTTCTAGCCCCTCCTTTTTTAATCCCACCATTATGCTGCTTCAATCGACGAATAGGATTAACAGTGTACCCTATGTAAGTCCTTCCTTTATATTTTGGATTTTTTGACAGTAGAAAATACACTCCATGAAACTGTAAGGGAACCTGAACATGATTTTCTGCTAATTCATCACTACTCGATTCAGTCCAGTCAGAATCATTCATCACCAGCGATCACCAGGAAGTTTGGCAAATTGGCAGTTGGCACTTGCCGCCACTTGGCAGGTTATTCTAATTATAAGAGTTAGATGAATGAAATAATTTCGGTTACCTTGGTTACGTCTTGTATCATAGCAACAGGGAGAAAGCGCTAAAATAAACTACAGAACCATTTCAAGTTATCATGGCGAAGTTAATGCCTTCTCCAACAAAATATCACCCTTCAGAGTGGCACACTTCTAACAAAACAAACTACAAGCAATCAGAAACTGAAAGGACAAGGTCTGAAAGGCTTCGCTCCGAATGCAATCGACTTTCTAACGAAGTTCAACAAACGACATTCCGGGTCCAGAAGGAAGTAGAGCATAAGCTATCACAAAGAATAGATGACATTACTTTTTGGAAAGAAGAACTCGAAAAAAAGATCAAGCAAACTTCTGATGAGATCGAAGCAGTCATTAACATGAAAATTGAACTGGAAAAGAACCTCGAGGCTACAAATTTTCCATTAGAGGTGACAAAAAGGTGCCTAATGTTTAGGGAAAATAGGCAAGCAATTGATTTGGTCCACGATGAAGTTGAGATACAACTCATGAAGGTATTTTCAAGCTAAGCAGCAATTGTAGAATGATATATGCTGAGTTTGCCATTGAAAATGTAGCTTGTTTTAGTTAGCTGTAGTCTTGCCCATAGATCTACAGGTGGTTTTTGCAGGAAACTAAAAATATTGTATTTAGGAAATGGAAGTAATTGAGGGAGTTCAGTGTCTCCTACAGAAGACTCATGATGAGGCTTTAGAACAATTAAGGTAACGTGTCGTCACTGTAAAATAGGGTGGTTTCGCATGCTTCAGTGGCTCTACCGCCCATTTAAGTCTATAAAAGGGGCGATAAAGACCCAGTGTGTCAGCAGTATCTATGGTTTGATGCGTCTTTCTTATTTAGATTACTGAGAAGCTGCAAGTACAAGCTAGAGAAGGATACCAAGGATAAGTTTGGAGCTCTGCACATTGACAAAGAGTGCGCCACGCTCACAGATACCTCCCCAGGAATACGTTTCTCACCGGCCGCATCAGTGGATATACAAACAAAGTAGATATATGAGCGAGATCCTTAAAAATTACTAAAATACCTATGGTTTCCCTTCTTTTTTTCCAGGTCTATCCTGCCCGTGGAGTGGCAAGATATCTCCGACGTCAACATATGTAAAGCAGAGCAGGAACGTATCAGCTCCACGACACTGCGTGGAGTTATTAGTAGCATATTAAGCCAAACAAAACAGGACATGATGCGACAGAGAGAGATAGTGAACGAGGCCTTTTACAAAAGAATACAAGAAGTCACAGATGCTAAAGTGAATCTGGAGGCCCATCTGAAAGAGGTAAAGTAGGTGCATGGCTTCTGTATTTCCTTTTACAACACTCCAAGATGCATGCTGCCTGTTTGTTGAAGGAAGTCTATTTCATTTCTTAGAGCATAGCTAGCAGTTCTAGTTTCAAATCCACCTTTATTTCTTAATATTTACCCTGGCATTCTTTTGCAGGTTATAAAAGAGATTGCATCTCAGGAACAGAACATAGCATCACTTCAGCAAGCCATACATGACAAGACTGGACCAATGCAACTCTCTCAAACACGTTTAGACTTACGCTCATACCGACCCAACAATGAACTTGTTCGTGACCCTGCACAATATGAATTGGCATTTGAAGTCAAAGAAATTGAGTTCACAATCCAGAAGCTACAGGAGCATTATCTTGAGGCACAAGCTACACTAAAAAAGCTTAATCGAAATCAATTGGTACTGGAAGAAGATATCTCTATCAAAACCCTCTCTCTCTCCATTGATAATGATCAGTGTATGTCACTGAGAAGGCAGATGCATACCAAATAATGATACTGACGGCAGCCCGATCCCACCACCATAATTATCACTCAATACTATAGTACTAACTGCTATGACTATTAACAATACTATCCTTATGTAGTGTTAACAATAAGTAACTTTTTTCAATTTTGATTAAAAGTATTTTCAGTAGATTAATGAAGAAAACAACAATAACTTGCTTAAAAAGAGAGATGTAAACTATTTTGCACATAAAAGTATACAGATGTTACACTATATGAACATTTTTATAACACACATGAAAAATAATAACAGCCATCCCATGATGTTGCAGGTTAATTACAAAATGAAACTATTAAATAATTATTATTTGTAACTATCGTGAGTGAATTAGCCATAAGATACTGACACACCACACTCACCATGTTACTCAATACCACATTATCAGTAACCCAACTCAGCCTAACACACCTCTCTCCATGTACTGGTAAGGTGTGTCAATCAAAATGATAAGATTAAATATCTGTCAACACATTAACTATCATAAAAAATATCCACCCATAATACTCACACTCCATCACCTTCAGAAAACTATGAAAAATTAGTTTAAGTCAAATTGATCGAGTTTCTCAATATTCTGCAAGCTTTGTCCAAATTTTAGTAAACTAATGTGATACTTGACTTTTTGTGCTTGAATCATTAACTGAAGTGATCTAAATCCGGTAACAATCTGTACAAATAAAAAAAACAGTAGAGGACCATTAACTGCAAACTCTAAGGGCAATAGAACAGTGTTCACATTAACCACAAGATAAAGCACCAGTAACAGTTGCAAAACAGTTAGTAACCAGAAGCCAGCCAATTCAGCAACCTACAAAACATGATCAAAGACAAAATAGCTAAAGGAATTCAAAATAAGTTAATACTAATAATACTGTACATTCGAAGTGTTTATTATTTATCTAATAGATGCATCAGATAATGTTGTGAATTTATTTAAACCACAAAAATATTAAGTGTATGCTCGTAATATATATAGTTACATAAAGGATGAATTTCAAAGAGTAGACCACACAGAAAGACACATAGTGAGCAATAAAATGACTGACCTTCTCCCTGAGATTACCTTCATATCCCAAGTAAAGCCTCAACATTTCCACAGTAAACAGGATGACATAGACTGCAACTGTTACATATTTGTAATGACTCAAGAGGAAACTGAACTAAATAAAAGAGGAAGTCAAGTATCAAAAGTACAAAGTGTGTCCAAACAGCCAACAATGGAACACAAAATACATATTACTACATTCAGCATCAGTTTAGACCCTTCACTTACTGTACTATGATTATTTTTTTAAGGATCTTACTTTTAGCAAATGAATTGTCTGGCTGCGCAAGACTATTATTTAGCCATCATGAATCATTATTACAAATGTACATGTACAATGTAGATTGTAATGAAAACAGGGTTTATTGATTAGAATCAATTGATTTAACTCTATAATTTAAATCATAGTATATAATCATACTATAAATCAATGACTATAAAATGATGTACATTGTATATATATATATCACTATTTCCCTTTTGTACAATGTTTTGAGCGTTACACAACTTCTAACTGTCAGTTAAAAAATTTGTTTTATTAATTATTGCACGATACCTGGTTGTAAAATAATCTATTGCACCAAACATGGTTGTGCATTGTACATGTATATAGTATAGTATCTGGGGTGTAGGCAGGATTTTGGAAAAGAGAGGGCAATTCTTGCAGTGCGCGAAGCATACCGCACAATTTTGTGAAACCTTGCCCTTTTCAGGCATAACCACACCTCTTTTTCAACATGGTGGGCTTCTTGAACAATCATAGACATTAAATACCTTTTCAGCTTTATAATGGTATCATAAAAGGACTGATTTAGCCTTTTCCTCACATATATAAGTTGTAGAACAGTAAAGCAGCTTATTATTTATTTTTTAAAATTTTGATTTCAAAAAGGGAGGGCATTTGCCCCCTTGCTGCCCCAGGCTAGGTCCCTGAGTATAACAAAAACTTTTCCTAAAAGAGAAATTATCTAGGCACAGTAAAGGCTGGAAAACTGGTTTTCTTATACAAACTATTACACAAATGAAAATTAGTTCACATACATGTAGTTCATTCCTCTTTCATTATTATCAAATTTTATCATTAACTAATGATTATGTATTTTAAAAAATGTGATTTAAATCTAAAAATGTGATTTACATAAAAAATCCAACTTTTTTGATTTAAAAAAAAAATATCCGATTTTTCTAAACCCTGAATAAAAACTAATTCCATAAATTAGTTAGATGTACCATTAAAAAAAAGAACAAACAGGTAAGAATACAATTAAAGCTGAATGAAGGCATTAGAAAGGAAAGGAGTAAACACTTTTTGAGTTTAAGCTATGATTCACTATAAAATTAATATTAACATTACTAAAAATTAACAGCATTTAGCATGATAAGTATGAAAATGACATGCCTACTGAAGGGCAGTACAAGAAATGAAATACAACAGTAGAAAGGAAGTGACTTCAAATCAAGGATGAACAATTTCGGGATTTGTAATACTAATATTAGGGGTACACTAAAGCCAGTATCTAATAGAGCTGAAATAAATAGTGAGATATTCAAATATTTGTTTGTTATAGCAATATTCCAATAGTTTTTTGCTATTCAAACTATTCGCATAATAAAATTATTAATGGTTATTGCAATAATTAACGGCCACGCCCACTGCGTGTCACATGCACAGGCTGCTTTCTTAGTCTATTTCTTTGTCTGTTTACTTACCAACTTGCTAAATACTGATGCTGTGGCCAGGGAAAGTGGTTCTCAATTTCTAAGAAACCCTGTTTGGCATCATTCTGACAAGTTTAACACAAAAAAGGTAGTTTATAATTATTCAGTAGTAACAGTCGAATTATTTGAATATTTGTTCATTTAGCATGCCAACTGTTCGAATAGTGAAAAATACTATTCGTTTCAGCCCTAGTATCTAACTACATGTACAACTCTTGAATAGCAGTCATAAAACTATGAACGACTTCTACAATCATAGTAGTGAAACTAGTAATTTAGAACTACTGTCCCACAGCAATCAGTATCATATCCAAAACTAGTGCACTACACACTACTGTAGGAACATATAAATGCATCAAAGCCATCGGTGTATTGCTTGGCATAAATATCAGTTAAATTAATATGACACATATACAATAACCACTTAGGTACACATACATGTGTACATCAATCATAGTTGTAAATGTAGTACATTTTTATCTAAAATGGTTACTATTCAATAGTTCATACCCAGCAAGAACTGCCTTACATGTAATTGTAGCATATTTTAAGTAACTTCAAATTGTCTATCACCTATTGGTACTGTACGTGGTACATGTACATTTACATAAACAATAATCTTGGCAAAAAACAGCATTAATTGCCACTAGTTCAAACGAGTCCAAAAACATGTAGCTGGTAATTTTGAAGGTGTAAAATCATAGTGTGACTGGTGGGTTTAATTTTGCAAATTTGTGGCAATGATAAAAAAATTCCCACCTTCAAAATTACCATCTGTTTTAATAGGAAGTAAGGTAACACGTACATGTACAAGTAAAATTACAAAACAATGTTAAATTTCATAGAATATATGTACATGTAGATGATAGAACAAACCAAATGCTCAAAATTCATGTAATCAAACTGCCACAAATGTACTACATGCACTATTGAGGGATAAAATTACCATGAAATAGCAAACCCCATTATTGTTCTTGTAACATTTAATGTGTACATTGTATATGTTATTTGGAAAAAATGAAACATACGCCTAAATGACAAATATGGTACCCTCGCTACTGAAGTAACTAACTTTGAGGTGAACATGCAACCTAAATTTAAATTGTTGTACCATTAATAAGCAAAAATTTTAGAAACAAATGTTAGTAAGTACACATTTCAGAAACTAACCTTAAGTTCCAATCCAATAATAAGAGATAGCATCCAAGGAAAAGAATAGTAAATATTAAAATGAAGAGTCATCTGAAGAAGTAGGTGAGATACAACCTCAACACCTGCAAATGGACATTGAAATAAAAATGGTAACAAATATGATGTTGCTTCAGGAGTAACTAAATCAATAACTGGATCACTAATGGTCACCAGAGGAAGATCAACAGGAGTAAAAGGTCAGTTACATGTAATTAACATCACATGAGACCTAGCAAACAATGAAGAGAAGATAAAAGTCGGTATTCTTTTAATTTTAGTACTTCATAAAGTCAAGGTACCTAAAGCATGTTACAGATTTTGTCCTCATTGATGTATGTGCATGTACATGTATCTCTTTTAGTTTGTAAAGAAAGCAAAAATGGCATCAAAATTAAAAAAAGAGATTGGATCTAAATTCTTCGACATTGAGTGGCAAGAATGTACATGCAATGAATGGAGGTATAGAAAAAAACTGGGATTCTTCTTCATCTTCCTTGAAATATTGACAATTAATTTACTCCACATAAAAAATCTTCCTACTAGGCTACTAAGTGTACATGTAAAACTCTAGCAGATTCATCATGATGTCATAATGTTAGGTTTAATCAACATGTACAAAACATTACACCTTAGATGCATACATGTAGTTCTGGCAAGGGCAACAGCCACAGGGTGTCAAAATTTCCATAATCAATTTATGACAACAGTCAGTAAGTACTCTTTTTAAGAAAAAAGATATACTAATTAACTCTTGCAAACAGTTCACATAAAAGTTAGGTGAAAATACAATATTTATAAAGTTTGACTATACACAAAAATGACAAATGTACATGTATAGAGTACATATGTACGTGAAAGTATAACAACTTGTTGATAATGTTATACAATTTATAGTGCACACATCAAAGGTACTGCCTGTTCTGTTATATTGCATACAGTACTGAAATTGAGTGTCAGCTAGTTGGCTTCACATGGCTAGCAGAACTGGGTGAGAAGCTCTTTGTGACTAGAGAAGAAGGGAAACTGCTCTGCCAGTTGCGGAACAGATCCACAACACTCCTTTACCACCATTGACAACTTTTTGCAGTCTTTTAGTAACCAGAGATGTTCTTACATGTATATTGATTGTTCGGCAGCCAAGTCGTATCACATGACAAAGAAAACTGTCTTGCTTGCAAATGTTTGCATTGGTTTTGTCTAACCCTTAATAAGGCGTTGAAGACTCGAAAAAACTTCTTTGGTGGATGCCTTTCTCATGCTTACGTTTGTAAACTATATATTAGTCATAGCACAGTAAAAAGTGATGCTAATAACAGCACATGGGGTGGAGTCTCAAGTCTCAACAGCCAATACAGCATTCTTTACTGTACTACAATTACTATGTACATTCATGTTACATGACTACAAGACACATTAGACTTATACATAGATGTAGCTATTATGCTGGCCTCTTTACATGTACATGTAGTTCAGTATAATTCAAAAAGATAAATTACATGTATAGAAGAAGAAAACAAAAAACTTCACGTTCTGTTTACGTTGAATGGCAACTAAACTGCAGCAGCATTTCTGTTCTTGTTGTGCTTTGTCCATTGAATCTGGTCAATACTGCTTTATTCAGTATGAACGTTATAAGTGTAGCCTATCTTGCCTTGACTGCTGCCTTCTTGGATCTTTTCTGTATGTTTGTGACAGTTTCTTATAGAATCAGGCTTCTTAGATACACTTACAAAATGGCTATAAAGTTAAACAATGGTTGATTATAAAATAAGAAAGGTACCATAATTTGTCTTTTTTTGAACAAAAATTTTTCAATTAAGAAAAATTCAAGTGGAAATATTTTCGTCTTCTCATAGTGTACAAAAATTTTTGCAGTCTGAAAATTTAGCTTCTCTTGCATATACTTTGTCCTTTACATAATGGTAACAAGGCCGCTATAGTAGTGTTTACAATTCTTGAGATATGAAATTCTTGACCTGGCTGTTCCCCGACATTACTATCATATGGTAGAGATGTACCGATAATCGATTGGCATATCAGATATCGGCTTATCGACCTGCTTTTTATAGTATCGGTTATCGGTTTCTTTGCATGAATCTTGCAGACATAGCAACACATGGTCATATGCACAATAATAAAGGGTTAATTAATTAATTTTAAGACATTATGAGCTAGAAAAAATCTCAAAATGATTCTATAACTGGGACTACTTAAAATTAGTCAAGATAGTAAAGTAGGAAGTGTATAAATCACATGGTACATGTGTAAATTTGTGCCTAAAAGGTAGGAAGGAAAATATCGGATCGGTATCGGCATTGGCCAGTATTGGCTATGTTAATATTGGCATATTGGCTAAAACCCATATCGGCACATCTCTAGTAGACGGATAGTACTGGAGATGCAGCAATGACCAATTTATAGATAATAAAGGGAAACATTAAATGGCTACTTTTGTCACATGGTGGACCATTTCATTTTATAACTCAGTAGTGAAGCAACTGATTGAAGTACAGCAAGCACCAGTGGAAAGAGCAAGGTTAGAGCTGCAAGAAGATACCTACTCATCAGGCAGTACCTTAGTCTTTCATTGATGAATTAGGTCACAAATTTTGGTTGCTCAAAAATTTTCGATTGAAATATTTTCATCATTTTAAGACCATACAAAAATACATGTATTTCCACAACGAAAAAAAGGCAAATTATGGTAAGTCATAAGAGAGCTGCATGTATTTATTAATACACTCACCTTGTTCTAATGTTTTATAATTTAATAGAAAAAAGCAGTTACAAAAAGGGTGGTATGACAAGCAAAGAAGCAACTATTATAATATTACTATCATTACAAAACAAAACCCTGTATAATTCTGACCTGCTAGTTACAAGATGGACAATGTTTGCATAAGAAACTTTAGTGATTATTATTATACAAGTTTTAGAAAATATGAGTATAATAGTAATAATAGAATTATAAAAATGACACTGTGAATTAAGGCATGTTGTAACATAAACTAAGTTGATTAGACAAGACTGTGGTGGTTTTCCTACTTTAAGTAGCGTCTCCTAGATTTAAGAATCTGAGGTCAGCACTAAACTGGTACAATATTAGTATATGCAGAAGCATAGCTTCTGAGGAGTAAGGAAAACCAAGGGCACAACGCTTATAACATTGAGCCAATGTAGAAACATGCTCTTTGGAAAAAAAGAATGTAAATGTAAGTTATCGTTTCGTATAGCATTGGAACTCTGAAAGGCCACTCCAAGTAAACGGAAGTCTTTATTGACTTGTACTGACATAAGTCTGGAAGATTGTGTTCTAGAGACTGGCTGAAGGAAACATAGTAAAGTCATGTTACCTAGCGGCTTTTAACCATGCTTTTAACGATAATTGATGTGGGTGTGGTGACACACATAATAACTATGAATATTAATTTTATGATGATTAATTCAGTTCTTGAATCTCTACCTTCTCCTCTTTGTCTATCTCTTCTATCTTTCCCTCTTCGATTATATCTCCTTTTGCCACACCCAACTCTTTCAAAAGTGCAGCAATGCATGTTCAAACTTTCCATTGAAGGGTTTCTTGTAGAGTCTTTTGACTAGAACTTTGTATTCAACTAAAGCAGTCCTATTTATGTCATTTGAACCTGTGCTATGACTGGGATTTCTAGTCCTCCTGGTAATAAAGGCAGGGGAGGATCTAGGATTTAATCTTTCTGGGGGGCAATTATGAGATGGGTGGGGGTAATTAGAACGTGTGGTCAATTAAGCTTGTGCATGTGCACAACATGGCAGAACCATAGCAGACTTTTTAGGAAAGACAAAATTAGCTGTTAAAATGAGCTCTATTCATCTATTGTGGTTTAAAGATTGTTTACATAGTCCAGTACTGCAGCTGTTTCACAATATCGGTAAAACTGAGTTTACATTACTCCAGAAAAATTTTGGGGGCCCTCCCCCCCTTAAATCTGCCACTGACTAAAGGTGATATGCAATAGTGGACATCTGCAACTTTTAGTGTTACAACTGCTCCATGCTCCATTATGTATCTGGTTGCTCCAGACATTTCTGAAAAGTCTGGGTCTCATACATAGAACTGTTGGTACTCTGTCATCTACATCAGTAAGGAAACAACTGTACATAATTCTCATCAGATCACAATTGACTTACTGCTCACCAATCTGGCGCCCCCACCTTATTAAGGATATAGCATTAATTGAGAGTGTTCAACGACGAGCCACCAAATGGATTTTAAATGACTACGATTCGGATTACAGATTTAGATTGGTTTACTCTCGAGCTTCTTCCCCTGATGATGACCTATGAGATCAATGATGTTGTCTTTTTCATGAAATCAGTTCAGTTTTGTAATCCTTCTTTTGATATCCTACAACATGTATCATTCTCCTCCTCCTGTACTAGATCCAACGGTCGTAAATTATGTCATAGTTACACAAAGCATAATTTGTCTCGCCACTTTTATATCAACCGACTACCACAACTATGGATACAGCTAATAGACCAAGCTGATACACTCGATTGCTCATTGACCTCCACTAAGAGATGATTAGTTGATCTGATGTGGCAGACCTTTTTAGATAAGTTTGAATCATCACAATTTTGCACATTCCACTTTTTATGTCCATGCAGTAGGTGTATTGAGTCATTCCTGTAATTTTATAATTTTAATTTTATTTATTAAACTTAATTTTGTAGCTCCTTTTCATCCTGTTTTGTTTTGTTTTATTTTTGGGACTCTGTGTTTCATCACAGTTTCTCCTACAGTACTATCTAGTCTTCTGGGTCTTATTCTGTTGTCTTGTCTATGTGTATTGTGAAGTTCATTAATAATAATAACAATAATAATATTTTCTCTTGGCAAGTGTCCTACAATACAGGCAGATGATAAGCACCCTGGAAGCATTTTTGTTGCTGCTATGGCATGGTGGTCATGTACAGTACACTTAAGTTGTTCTGTTCGTGCTCCGTAGAAAGCAATTCATGTAATTTCGAAGCCCACACTGTCTGATAGATGTGATACCCTCTAAGGCCACACAAGAAGCTGAAAGAAATGCCTGTTGAGGTAAAACAAATCATTTCTAGTAGAAAGGCAGGCTTTAGAAAGCTTAGTTGCTTAGCCACAATGCACCACGTGCACTGCACATGATTGCCGTGCAATTCAAATTCGTTTATTTGCAGCACAAAAACCAAAAGCCTAACTACCAGTTTGGGTTTACAAATACAAGTCTACTAACACTGCTCTTCCAGAAACAATTAATACTGTTTGTAGCTACATGCCAATTTAATGGAGTCTGGCAACATTAAAGCCCATGATGTTCCAGAACTGGCACATCCGTGGGTACAGGCTCCAAAAAAAGAAGCATCGTGGTAAATATGTTTTCTACACAAATGAAGATAAAGTTAAAATAGGAAAATATGCCAGTGAAAATGGCAACGAATGAGCTATGTGTAGACGTCACTTTAGTGATAAAATACCAGGTCTAAAAGAGAGTACAGTTCAAAATTTTAGGAAAATGTAGAGAAGAAACGGGGTAAGAAAGGAGAAAAGATCAGCATAGTCCACAGCCAGTTCTAAGAATTCCTACAGAACCTAGAGGAAGACCACCACTCATGGGTGACTTGGATACATCTTTACTAAAATGTCTTAAAGCTATTAGAGCTAAAGGTGGGGTAACAAATATACATGTACAACAGGCAGCTGCAGATGCATTGATGAAAGTCATCCAAATAAAACATCACGTTTTGAAATGAACTGTAGCTGGGCTCAGTCTTGTCTATTGATGGCTCGGTTACAAGAGGAGATGGGGCACAACATGAAGACCTCTAGTACCTTGTGAATTGCATGAAGAAAGTTGCAATTGACTTTCTTGGTGATATAATGCATTATGTTTAGCATCATTCAATTCCGCCTGATCTGACTTTTTAAATGCAGACTGAGACCAAACTCCAAGTTCATATGTGTCTGTTGAAAAGCAGACAATGGCATCTTGTGGAGCAAACTTTGTTTCCACTAAGGGCCTAACCGACAAAAGAAGCATCACCATTACTTTTGTTATTACTCTGCCCGCTAATCTTTTACCAATAAATGCAAATCATCTATAGCGGTAAAACAAAGGCTAGTTTACCACAAAGCTCAAGGAATTTCTCTTTGTTACAATGAAAGCCATTAGTCAAACTAAGAAGCTAAATTAAAGGGTATTGTTACCCAAATTTAATGTATTTATTTGATTACTAGTAATAATAATAATGTGTTCCAAATCCCACTGTCTATAAATAACTATTTACTGAGATATGGGCCTTTAAAGTCATAAAAAATGTTGATATCATGCTTCCTCCATTGTTACTTCCTGTCAGTGGGTGTGGCTAAATGTAACGTCATAGTAGGAATGTTTGTAGATACTATATAGTGGGTAATTTTAAATGGAATTAAATTTGGCGAATTTGGCGTTTTGATAGCCATTTGCCAAAATAAAAATCCACCATTTTGAGCTATTATATGCATGCTCAATGGCAGGTGGCCACAAATTTGCAAAATTAAAAATCCACCAATCTCCAAAATTTAGCAATTCGCCAAAATTTAGGCCTTTGGAACTTACCCGCCATACGGTAACTCCATTCCTTTACAGGGGAAATGATCCTTTATTCTCATGCCTTGCATGCATTAGCACAAATTTGAAAATTGGGATCTTTAGCTTTCATTATTCTAAGCGTGCAACTGCAAAAAAAGCCTAAAATAGCAAACAAAAAATTAAAAAAATGTGTTATTGTGACTTCTTCTTGCAGTTGCATGCTTAGAAAATGAAAGCTAAAGATCCAAATTTTCAAATTTGTGCTACTATATTACAAGGCATGAGAACAAAGGATCACTTCTCCCTATAAAGGAATGGGTATGGAATTATTTGCAAATATTCCTACTATGACATCATGTTTAGCCACATCCACCAGCAAAATGTCAACATTTTTCACGACTTTGAAGGCTCATATCTTAGTAAATAATTATCTTTAGACAGTGGGATTTGCAACACATTATTATTATTGTTAGGTAGTCAAAATAAGGCCATAAAATAAATACATCAAATTTCGGTAAAAATACCCTTTAAATCTTATTGAAACAATTGTCAAGCCATATGTTGTAAATAAAAGGCAAGAGCTGAACTTGGCCCTGCTGCAAAAACTAGCTTTAGACTATACATGCTCTATGATCTACATGTATGAGCAAGCAAAGCAACATGCAGATCTTGTTGCTTTAAATTTTCTGCATCACTTCATCCCTTAAGAATCTCTGCAGCAATTAAAGTTATCTTGCTAAATATTTAGAAGTGAGCTGAGCAGTAGCAATTACTTTCTTGGTATCATTAATGATACAAATTTCTCAAGGTATAACTAAAAAAATGATTTTATCAATGTTTTGAATTTAAATTTAACAAGACTGATATAATAAATTTAACTAAGGTTTTTGCTAAGAAAATGAGTTGGTTCACTTTGTGTGATTTTAGAGAACACCTCTCTTTGGTAACAATATTGCCTCCTATACTAAATGTGCGCTCAGATTCAACACTAGTAGCACAGGCACATAGGTACATGCGTGTAACTTTAGGGAGAATTGGAAGGCTGGAAGGCGAGACTCATAATGTTTCTACCATTGTAGAGGTTCTTCATCAATATTCAGTACAGGTAGTTGAGTATACATCATTACTTTTTTGCTTTGCTTTCTCTTCCGGTAAAATCATAGCTAGTTGTGTACCAAGATTAGTTTGTCCAAAAACCTGGGTAAAGTTTCCTTTCTTTAGTGGTGGTACTTCAGACTGAGTGCTAGTTGGCCTGTTTAAGTCATCATTTAAGGTACCAGACTGCTTCAGTTCTTCATCAAGATAGACTGAGAATCCACTCTCCTCAATAGATGCTTATTGCCCCTTGAAGCGTGGATCTAGGAAAGAACATAGATCTAAAAAGTTGATTCCATATCAAAGTACAATGTAGCAATTTTGTAAATCCTGTTTGATTGTAGATTTCATTTTCTGAGTCAAAGTGCTATTTTCTTCTTTATTAGAAAGACTTTTGCCAAAAATATGTTTAAATATGTTTAAGAAGGCTTAATAGCTGAGCAAATGACTCTCTTATTGCTAGATAAAAGGTCAGTCAATTGCTCCAATGGTGACAAAATAACTAAAACTAAATCTATTATGTCACAATCCTGCCATGTAGGCAGCAAGTGGTTTGCTTTCCTGTCATTTCTAAGAACTGTGAATGGGATCTATTTGCTCTTTAATCTTCATAGATGATATCGAACCACAGCGAGTAGATACATCACATTTTAGCTTCTTTAGTGGCAACCCTCTTTGTTGTTGAACATCAGTAAGACTACTGGCTCTTGTCCAGCTAGAAGAAAAAGCAGACAATCTGGCGACATTAACAAAGAACACAATCAACTCTTCGATCAGACAAACTCTTCTTTATGGGCAGATCTACATGAAAGTTATGATCAAAGCAGGATGGTCGTCTCCAATTCAATAATTGGAATGCCAGTTTGACATTTGATGCATTGTCAGTTGTAATGGCAATTTGTTTGCTCTTGTCAAGGTTCTATTGTTGAAGAGTTGACAAAAAGGAATCCTGCAAGTTGACACCAGTGAGGCTTTCAGGCATAAAATGTGCCTGAAGACAATGACTTTGTATTACCCAGTTATTGTCAATGTAGTGAACTGTATAACTGAAGTACGGCTCCATGGTAGCAGAAGACCACAGGTCAGTTGTGGCTGATTAGTAGAAGTTGTGATTTGTCATATTACTCTTCATACTAGCTGATACTTCATTATATAGAGATGGAATTGCAACTCTACAAAAGTAATCTTTATGTGGTAATTGGTAACGAGGACTGATCGCTTGAATCATTTCCCTAAATCCACTTTTGTCAACTTGATACCATGTCTTTAGCCAGAAAATGTGTTACAGCCTTTGTAATTTTCTTGTGTTCTGTAGAACTAGTGCTTATTATTTGTGTCTTGGCTAAACATTGTTCCATCGTCTGCTGCTCTGAGTTTCCTTGTTTGCTGCAACTTGCTTTAGATGAACTGGATGAAGTAGGTTTCACCTCAAGGTACATGTAGTTCTCTGGGTGTTTCTTTTGAAATTGAGAGTAAAGATTACTTGTATTTCCCAACTTAGCTGATACTTTTAAGTGGCAAATTTGCCAAATGTGTATATCACTGCTCTTAGGCTTTCCACTATCATCTACAACTAGTCCAAAGTATCTCCAAACAATAGATGTTGGGTTTAGCTCGTTAAGTAGTCATGGTTCTATGTCTATTTCACCAGCATCACTCACAGAATCATCAACAAAAGAAATAGTAACATCCGCCATTTTGCAACATGTGGGTTTCTAATTGTGTGACCACAATTAATTAATTGTGTGACTACACTAGCTTTCAATGAAGATTAGGCTATTTAACTTTAAAAATAGTGAGATGACCCTATGCCTGCAGACAGACACTTTCTTGCCTTAGTGGGGAAAACTCAGGTTCGCCCCAATTATTGTTTAACCGTGCATTGTTTAAAAGTGCATTGAAGAATTTGAGGTTGATACAAAGCTCAGCACAATTAAACCCCTACATGCACAATTGCTCTTTAACTTTTATGACCTTTTCCCTACAACTGAGGGTCATGCTAACTCACTAAAGGGGTGGAACAAGGCAGGGATAAGTACACTCCTAGATGAGACTACAACACTAGGAAATGAGACCCATTTAAAACTAGTGGCATTAATTGGGCGAGCTTGAGTCATTTGTGTATTGTACTGACTCTGCTGCTAGCTAGGCTGCTTTTCTAGATAAGTCTTGAGTCTGGGGTGCCATCATAACCGTCTGAGCTAAGCAAGAAGAAGCTAAAGCATCCTTTTCATTCCAGCTAGGTTGTTGAAGTTGATCTCAAGCGTTCTTTTTGCTTCATGTGCTTTTCAATATTTCATTAAAATGAGCTACCGCATTAGATCATTGACTCAAAAATAGATAGTAGTGCAAACATGGGGTGTGACCAGAAGATGGGAGTGACTGCAGACGTATGCATACATACATACATACATACATACATACATACACACAGAAGACTCCTGCTATAGTGGGGCTGCCCC